GCTGCGCTATAGACTTACCCCAAGAGGCCTGAGGATAGTAGTGCCAACTTTTGTCTTTTAAAAATTATTTTAAAGCTGGGCGTGGTGGCACACACCTGTAGTCCCAGCACTTGGGAGGCAGAGGCAGGTGGATCTCTGTGAGTTCAAGGCCAGCCTGGTCTACATAGTGAGTTCCAGGACAGCTGGGGCTACAGGGAGACCTTGCTTCAAAAAGACCAAAAAAAATTATTTTAAATGATCTGTATATACATATAATTTTATACAAATGAAAAAGTGAAATTATGCATACTATTTTCTTTCTTTTAATTGCAGGGTTTTTTTCTTTCTTTTCTTTACTTTTCCCCCTCCTACCATGAGTCTACCCTCCCACTCTTCAGCTCCAGATATTTCATATGCAGGCAATCAAATATATATTCTTCTCCATGCTCAAGCGCACACACACACACACACACACACACACACACACACGTGCACGCGCGCGCCTTTGAATCCCTTCCCATATCATTTGCCCATTGCTCATTATCCTATAGAATGATTTGTTTTCTTGTCTAAAGACTTAGATCTCCTCCATGAAGTTCTATCTGTCTTCAAGTTTGGCTCAAGTTCCATCTCCTTCCCAAACTTCCATTTATAATGCTCTTAATTTATGACATATTGTTTTTTCCTTGAAATTTTCTCCAGGCAGTTCATGATCATACATCTTTGATTCAAGCACCAGGATCTATGAGAGCTAACTGCATGTCTTATTTCTGTGTCCTATTACTCCCCTTCTCAAAGATGTCTAAGGAAGATTTAGAGCATGAATGAATGATAGGGTGTGAATTTATCCTTTAACTAAGCTTTGGATGTTCCACCAATCTGTCTAAGGCCCTAAGAACGTTCCTTTACTAACAAGTAGGAATCTAGATTCAGAGTTGTTTGTTTGTCCACCCTTCAGTCTTTCTTGGTTTCCCTTTGCCAGCTGCTCCACTGTCCAGATGTGGCAGACGCAGTGGATGATGTTGCTACCAAAGTTCTGGGAAACTGGTTCAAGTGTGAGGAGCCAGCTACAGTAAAACTGCTGCTGCAGATGTCAGAGGTCTTCGCAAAGCACAACAACATGGTACAATGGGGTAGGGTTCAAGGACATGCTCTCTCATGGGGAAGGAACAGATGGACCTGGAGATTTGGTGTGGCCAGTTATAGATAGGATGGGACACACTCTTGGAATTAGAGTGCAAGTCCTCTTGAGGCCAGTCCTCTAAGCACAGGATCAGGGCTTGAACCATTCATGCATCCCTGTACCAGGAAAGGCCCAAAAGGAAGTTGTTCCATAGGTTACTACAAAGAATAGGCCTAGCCAATCCCAGGTTCTCAGATATACCATCCAGGTCTCTGGAGATTGGCATTATAGCCAGGGACGAGGAAAGCAATGAGGAGGAGAATTGGTGGTGTAATGGAGGTAGAAACTCCTCTGTCTCTTCCCCTCTACCCATGGAGGACAGAAGATCCTAGGCCAAGTATCCTGGCAGCCCATTGACTACCACCTGATGCCAGGACCACTCCTGGTTCCAAAGTGAAAAGCATGAGCCCTTGTGCCCACTGGTCTATCTGAGGGTGGATTGACCTGACATGAGAGTGGACAGTGGTAAGTCTCCTGTCTGCATTTCTGAGCAGCTGTCACTCCACAGGTGAAGCAGCTCCACATCCTACAGCCCTACGTGCTGAACTGCTGCTACTCCTCCAACAGTGACTTGGTGATGGAGACCTTCCTCACGCTGCAGCGCCTCCTCAAGGATCTCACCTGGCAGCACTCCTCCTCTTTCATCAATCAGCTTGCCTTCATTCTGGTGCCCTTCTTTGATGAGGTAAAGCCCCTGAGGGATCCAGGGGTTACTCTCTTACTCTAGGTGGCTGTGACATGATGGAGAAGGGTAGAACTCTTTTAAAAAGCCTTTTCCCCAAACCCAACAGCATTCTTGGGGGATCGATTGAGTCTGTTCTCTTGTTTCATGATGGTCAAAGGAGGAGGACAGACCATAGCAGCATAGGAGAATTGTGATGCTCAGTCAAAGTAGATGGCAGGTGCACACAGGACCATGTGGTGGGTGGGAGCAGAGCTCAGGGTCCTTCTGACCTGGGTGACCAGTGTTCAGATGCACAGGTATCTTTCTGATACATATGTCTTCTCATCCAGGAGTCAGAGCAGCTGCGCTTGATAGCCTTCCAGATCTATGGAAGTATCCTGATCAAGGTCATGAGAAGGATTCTCATCTTTCCCTTGAAGCACCAGATCCTCAACTTGATAGTCCTCCTGGTATTACACCTGAAGGATGTGAATACTGATGTGGTGGAGGTGAGAAGTCAGGCCTGAGAGCCTGACATTCATCCCAGTTCTCACTGGAAGTCAGTGCTGAGCATGGTAAGCCCTTGGACAGGAATTGTGGCAGCATTGTGTCACACTGAATGGACCCACTAGACTCCGATCTTGGAGAGGTTCAGTAAGTGGAGATGTCTGTCCAGCTCCAGTTTGACCCCACTCACCACCAACTCTAGTAGAAGATTGTGGGTGTGCAAACTCTGATGTGGGATTCTCATAGCAGAATCAGCTCCTCTCTCTCTACTTCCCTACCTTGGCCCTTGGGGTCTTCCTTCAGTATGGCTCCCAGGGTAGGGGAGGTTGCATGCTGGGCAGAGCAGGAGGCATGGACTTTGACCAGCTCTGTGTCCAGGAGCCTAGCTGCATGTACTGCAGCTAGACAACCTGAAGACTGCCAACTCTGCTTGTAATAGGATACCCATGCCCACAGAGAGGCTACTTTGCCATCTCTGAGGCCCCATAGTTAATCTGAGGATATTGCTGAGCAAGTGCCAGAAAGGGAAATTATCTTTTAGGAATGCCCTGCCCCGACCCTGATGAACTCAGTGATGATAGTCCTGACAGAGCCAACCTTGATGTAGAATAGGGACCACCCAGGTTCCACCTTGAGGCACTTGGGCATGGTTGTAGACTCTTGTGACCCCAGGGTTAAGGCAAAAAGGTTGCCAATTTGAGGCTAGCCTGGTCTACATAGCAAGACTCTATCTCAAGGGGTTAAAAAAAGATTTTTGGGGGAAACCTGCTTTCAGAGAGGCTGTTTTGGGGGTGAGAAGCCATGGTGGTGAAGGCTGTGATGGAAACAGCTGTACTGCTCTGGGCCTCAGCATAGTACTACAGCAATGGGAAAAACATAGAACTGTCACTTCAACTTCTTCATAGGAAAAGGGGGTTGTCAGTTGAACCAGATGGCTAGATAGGCTGTCTTTCTCCTAAGCCTGAGTCCTGGTAGTTTCTAAGTTTCCAGTCCACCAAGGGCAAATGTATTGCCATCTATCTCCCTTCTGTGCCCCTCGCTGTCTCTGCCCAGCCTCATTTCTGTGCCTCGAGTGCTGAGCCTCTTATCTCTCCAGGTCTGCCGGCTTAGCCTCTGCAACACAGCTACCATCTTGGGCTGGTCCAAACTGAAAGTGGTCTTTGCCAAGAGTGATGTATTCACCATCCTCATTGCCCTGGTAAGCCAGCAGCTGACTCACCCTTCTGTCCTGTGCAAGGCTGTCACCTAGCCATCTGAGTCCTTCTGCAGCTGGGGGTTGGCAGCAGCAGTGAGTAGCTCATTCAGCTTGTGTCTTTGTACTGGCACCTAGTGGTCGTCTTCCTCCACCCCCTGCCTTGTGCTTCCTGTCTAAACTGGGGAGCTAGGCACATAAACTGGTAATTTTTCAGACTCTGATAAAGGAAAAGAATGTGCTTTCCAATACAAAGGTGAGGCATTTGGCCCAGTATGGACTTAAAGAAAGGCTTCCTGGCAGAGGGATCATCTTCATGGGGAGACATGAAGACAGGCAGTGTACAGGCTAGACACCAGGGTGCAGAACTGAGTGCTCACCATGCCAGGGGCTTTGCACACATTGTGATTCCTGTGACTTGGTCAATCCAGAAAGGTTTCATGGAGGAAATAAGGTTTCAGGAACTGGGGCATGAAGGATGCTTTTATAGAAGGTTCTGAAAGATCTTTACAGTTGGGATAATTTCCATTTATTCTCCTGTTTAGACTGTCTGAGAGGCAAGAGAATTGGCAGTGTACCCCTTCAGTTATGCCATCTAACACCTTTTCTTATAGCTACATCAGGAAACAACCAAAGCACTCTGGTTTCTAAAGCAGTGTGTGGCTCTTTTCAAGAGCCCACAGGGCCCCATCCGCCACGCAGCCGTGTGGTTTGCAGGTATGGTCCTCCATCTTCTTAGAGTCACTGCCATCTTGATATAGGGTCCTTCAAACAGACTGAGGAGGTAATAGGACCCATGGTAATTAGAGTTCCTGCCTGGTAACTGTGGTGGACTGTCTCCACCTGCTCCCCTCCCCCACAGGGAGACCCTAGTTGGGTTGGACCACCTTTCTATAGCAGAATAGGGTGACTCGTAAGAGGCAAGGGCAGCAAGTAGAGCACCCAAAGGAGTGTCAGGGTTGTGGGTGCTCAGTGGAGGAAGTTCAGCGACAGGTAGATACTTCCTCGTGTCACCCTGGAGACAAGCATCTTTAGAGCAGAGGAGTATCCACCCCTTCACCTTGCCCCATTTGCTTAGAACCCTTCACAGAATTAGGGAAGGCAGTTTCAACTTGATGGAACAAGTTCAGCCCTGAGGCTGGTGACCAAGGTTGGGAAAGACAGACAAAGGGAAGGGATGGTGATTCTTTGGGAAGGGGGCACAGAAGCACTTGCAGCCAGGGTCTGCTGACCTTTTGTGGAGTTGCTGAAGCACCTGCATGCCCTTGTAGGTCAGATCATCCAGATCCTTGACTTGGGAGAAGAGGAGATTGAGGAGGCATACACAGGTGAGTGGCAACCCCATCACACACTGCTTACATCTTTTAAGGGTACCAGTATCGGGAGTGGCTTGGAAATAAGGGCAAGAGGGTGATTAGCATCCAGAAAGGGAGCCATGTCTCTATGGCATTTAGGTTTGGGGTATTGGTCAGGGCCTCTCTGCTCCCCACATTCACTCACTTGTACTCATTGCTATTCATCTTGAGGCTGTTTATCAGCCAAGGTGGTCCTATGAACTATTCCCAGGAAAGACAGCTGGCTTCTTCCCTGGGGCACCCAAGGGTCCCAGGAGCTCCATCACAGTTCATGCTATAGAATGGAGTTCCTGTGTTCTCACTGTCCCTGAGACATGTCCTCTGTATAATGTACTTTTCCCTCAGTATCCCCTCTCCACACTACATTCCTGACACAGTAACCCCCAGGTTTGACTCCATCCTGGGCTGCAGTTCTCTGGGAGGTCAGATGACTTCACACAGAACTGTTCTGTTGAAGAGTAGAGTTGGGGAGGGGAAAGTAAGTAGACCCAAAAGGTTGGTGCTAGACACAGGGTGAAGAGCAGTTGGCCCCGTGTCTCCCTGAGCCTGGGGCAGGCTTGGGAGCTTGCTTGTAACTGAGCAGTGTTAACATCTAGAAGAAACTGTTGCTTGTATCATAGGAGCTTCCAGTCTGCACCCAACTGCCCTCTTCCTTCCCCCAAGCAGCTCGGGGCCCTCCTCCCCAGCCGTGCAGCCTTTCTCTGTTCAGACCACTAACCCCAACCATATTTGTTACAGCCTTAAGGCACATGCAGCAAGACTCTGACCCCACAGTTAGCTGCCTCACCACACAGACTTTCTACATCCTAGAAGCCAAGGAGAAGGCGCTGCTGGCCAAGACCCCATCCTCTTGCCTCTGCATGAGGAGGAGTCAAAGAAGACACTTGTGAGCCCGTATGCTGGGGTCTCATGAAGGCCTGGCCCCAGTGTTGTGACGGTGGGCTGCCTCCTGAGTCCTGTGCTAGAAACGGTGTGTCCCTGAAGAACTTTGCTAATAAAAGGAAAAAGCATACACTTTTGTGGAGGACGATGTCAATTTGTGGCCATATACAGCCATCTGTCGTGAGCTGCGTTGTCTACAGAGAGCAATGGGTCAGGCTGGCTTCTTGGGCTCTGATGCCTTGTGTCTGTCTCCCATTTAGCCACGTGATCTTAGGCCAGAGGAAGCAGTTTTCTTCGAATCAACATGAATTACAAACTGAGTGTTAGGACACATGAGGTATCTAGAATTCATTTGTTCTAGAAAGTTTTTTGGTTTTGTTTTTTTAAAAAAACAGGGTCTTGTTGTATATCCATACTGGCCTCAAACTCCTGATTCTCCTGCCTCAACATTGTTCATGAGTCTTGGGATCACAAGTGTGTATCACCACACCCAGACTTTTTTTTTTTTGACACTATCTTGCCGTGGTTGTCCAGACTGTTTTGGAACTTGCCTTGAGGCCAGCAACAACAGAGTCCCCTCTGGCTAGTTGAAGCAGAAAAGTGATTAGAACGTTTTTTTCCATGAGCTCAAAGAGAACACACAGCCAGCAATAAGGACTGCTCTATAAAGCTGCACTGTGGCTTCCCCTTGGCATGGCCCAAACCACTGTCCAAGGGATACCAGAAGTTTGGTTACTGTTCTTCTGAAGAGCCATCAGTGTCCTCCTTCCACCATGTTAAGGTCAGTGCCTGCTCTCCTATACACCCACTGGAATCAGTCTTATCAAGAGCTGTATGAAAGTGAGTTTGTGCAGTGTCTCTGGGTCTAATCAGGGTCATCTGTTGCTGCCATAGCCCCTCTTCCTGCACCATGGTGTTTCCTAGTACCCTGATCTTCAGTCACTGGGCAAAGCTTATAGGATAACAATCCATTTTCCTAAAACAACTTCAGGTTCCTCCAATGAGCAAGCGTGCTCTGAGCTGGCTGATGCTCTGTCCACTGTGAAGCAGGGCCTGGCTTCATGGGCTCATTCCCTACAGTGCCCAGCTCTTCCCTGCACCTAGACCTTCAGAACTTGATGAGCTCCCTTCCTGCTGGTCCTGTGTATGCCAATGTCTTTCATTATCTTGGGCCCAGCAGCTCACCTGCTTGTGAACAACTCTAAAGGTGGCATTAAAAGCCTCACTGGTCTCTGCATTGGCCAAGAGGGTGTTCTCACTCATTTCCCTCCCTGTTTCTGCCTCCCCTCCCCCATCAGCTGTCACCAGCTATCCCTAGGAGCCTATGAACTGAATACTTCATATGGGAATGGAAAAATCCAAGACTCAGCAACATATGCATATCTTCTTCCTTGCCCTCAAAGGGCAAATTTGCTTTGCTGCAAGCAAAGATGAATGGTAGATCTTATATATAAACAAACAAAAACAAAACCAGAAACCTATTAACAGTCAAGGGCTTTGGGTTAAGACCTCTTGCAAGACTGAGTGCCTCCACAGGTCACTTCATTTACTTTACTCAAACTGTTGCAGTTGGTGTCAGTCTAGGAGTTATTGTTGGGTTCGTTTTTCTCAGTCAATTAAAGAATTAAAAGGCAGGAAAAATCTCAGACCAGCAGAGAGCAACAGTATTGAAAGGTAAAAAATCATATCCACGAGGATAAAGAACACATTCATACAGAAAGACGAAGCTCTCCACAAGTGGAGAGGGGACCCAAGAACCGAAATCCCTTGGTCCCCCCCCCCCCGGGAGAATATGGGTTTTAGGGATTTCGGTGGTTTCCCTTCCCCTAATTTTGGATTGGTCAACTTAAAGTGGTAGGTACTTTTGGGCTTATGGCTCCAAATGAGGTGTCCAGGTCTACATGACTCTAAGCAGATCAGTTGAGGGGGCCTTGTTGGAATTAAAAATAAGATCTTCCTGCCAGAGACCAGGAAGAAGCAGGAAGTGCACCATCTTATTACTTCTCAGTGACTCTCTCAGGGTCCCTAACAAAGCCAAGATACGGGCATAAGATAATGAACTTAGGGCCTCATCTGTCCTACTGTGATCTCAGCCAGTTCTGTTGGTCTCAATTCCCTTTGTCTATAAATTGAGAGGCTTGGAAAAAAATGCCTTTGTGATGCCACTCAGTTCCAATGATGAATGGTTTACATTGGATTCTGAGAAGGGGCCCAAGGAGACAGCTCAGTTGATGAAGTGTTTCTGCACAAGCATGATGATCATGACCCGAGTTCAATCCCCTGAACCCATGTAAAGAGAGTATGGTGGGTGTACATGTAATTCCAGTTCTGGAGAGGTAGAGACAGACAATCCCTGGGCTTACTGGCCAGTCTAATGAAATCAGCAAGCCCTGAGTTTAGGGCGATCCTTTCTCAAAAATAAGGTGGAGAGGTGTTTGAGGAAGACACTTTGACATTGATTTCTGACTTCCACATGCATGCACATACATGTGCACCTGCACACACACATTTGAGCGCACATGTACACACACACACACACACACACACGCATTCTGAGGACGGTTTCCTTGTGTGTGAGAAAGCTGACTTGCAGCTTGCATTCTCAATGGGAGTTCTCTTGATTCTTGTTTTCTAAAATTTCCAAAGTAAGATACTATTCTTATGGTCTGAGGGAAAACACCTCACAATAGAAAATTAAAGACTTCTTAACTCTAAGGTCCTCCTTTAGGGGGCTGGTGTCCTCACAGGCTGACCTGAGCTTAGAAAAACTTTTGCTACCGACTCTAGGGATGGTGGTGGTGATGGTGAGGGGAGGAGCTCATGCAAGGAGGAATCAGCTGAAGTCCCGTCTCCCTAGTCACCAAAGCCTGGCCTCTAGGTTTCATCTACACACCCAGTTGTCACTTCCTATCTTACAGTTCCCTGTGGGCTCCATTTGTCTGTCCGGTAGAATAGGATCCTATGTGAAATATGGGCCTGTGGGCAGTGAGGGTTGGGCAGGAGCCTGGCATCGGGTAGGGCTCAGTCAGCCAATCAAAACAATCAAACAGAAAGCCTCGCTGTTCCCCAAGGCAGGAGGCTCTGAGCCTGCCCAAGTGGCTTACTTAGGGCTGATCTGTCTACTCTGTCTCCCTCTGATACTTGCCTTTCTGCTTGAGGACATGAAACATCTTTCAGAATTCCTCAGAATACCCCTCCACCCTCCACACCTTGGCTGGCTGGATCTGGGTAAGAAGCAGGGACCTGGGGGAAGTCATTTGGTTTTACATTTGGGAAACAAGCAGACTCTCCTGTCTTCAGGGTTGTACAGTAATCAGAAAACAGAGCTTTCTATACATCTAGGATGTTAGTGAAGACACAACTCCATAGGAGCCTCTACCGAGGAATGGGTCAGACACACCAGAGCTGCTAGGTGACAAAACAATGTAGTTGGAGCTGGAAGGGTAGCTCAGTAATAGGCTCTGGGTTCCATCTCTGCACTTAAAAAAAGTGAGCTGGGCATGGTGGCGCACACCTTTAGTCCCAGCACTTGGGAGGTAGAGGCAGGCGGATCTCTGTGAGTTTAAGGCTAGCCTGATCTACATAGTGAGTTCCAGGCCAGCTGGCACTACAGGGAAACCCTATCTTGAATAAATAAATAAATAATAATAAATAAATAAATAAATAAATAAACAAATAGCATGAGGGATTTAGTTTTCTAAAGACTGAAAGGAAACGATATAATAATAAAAATCACTAAAACCATTGCAGAGCTGGGTTTGCATATGAGCTTTTTAATATTTTCATAATTCCGTTCGCTCTCTGTGTCAGAGGAATGAAGCATGTCCAGTATATACCACACACAGCGAGTTCCAGGCCCTAGAGAAGGCATGTACTATGTTAGTGAAAGGAAATGGGGGCTGCAGCAGGGCAGGGCTGATCAAATCCCAGTTCTGTCCTTATGAGCTGTGAGCCTGTGAGGACACGGATGAGTCACTCCTGTTCTCATTTCATAAAATGAGAACATTCCCTATCACGAGGAGTAGGGAATATCTAGTGAGAAATGCCCTGTACAGTACCAGGGGTACAGTATGTGCTCAATTAATGCTAGTGCCCCCTCTTCAGCAACTGTACCTGCCTTGGTCCCTGGAGCCGTGTGTGGGGCTGGGCGAATGTGACATCCTCCAAGGAACTCTAAACTCAGCACAGGGTCCAGTCCCAAGATCCAGTCCTATACAACAACTTCCCAGCCCCCCCAAAAGGTCAATCAGCCACAGGTCAACAGTCCTCTGGCCATACTTCAGTGGACAATGGTCATTCCAGTTTTATTTATGACAAGTCCTTAGAACACACACATCCAATTCCAGAACAGAAATATACAGCATGAAGCTTAAATAACTTTCATACACTATGTACAGTCATCAGCAGAGGTACAAAACATATATACACCTTGTGCTACCATGTTACAGAGGAGCGCATGAGCCAAATGAGACCCTGCAAGCCAGGGCAAGGGCAATGGCTAGAAAAGAGCTGGTGGGCAGGGTAGGGCACCAAGACTTCAGTGATCATCTCTGATTTTCAGCAGTATCTGCTTCCTACCTTTCTGGCAAAGCCTTCAGGACACAGGTTTGAAGGATTGAACTGAGGTGTGAGGGGGGTGGATCTGGGTGCTAGAGATGAAAGGGAGTGAACACAGGGGACAGAACAAAGATGCAAAAGGGACAGAACTTTCCCTGCAGATTCTGTTCTTATAGAAGATCTGGAAGTCAAGCAGGGGGAGCTGGACTTAGGAAGTCCTGTGGGGGCACTGGCCGCTGAGAGTGAGGGCTATGCCCATCAAAGGAAGCAACAAGCACTTTCCTGTTTGAGAGGACAAAGGGACAGATGGCACAGGTTTGGGCCACACAGTGGGAAGGAATTCACTGCTCCTGCAGGGTAGGCCCTGCCCATAAAAACATACCGGACACAGGCAGGGTATGGACAGTCAAGCGGATGTGCCTATACCCAGCCCAGCCTCAGGGGAGGCCCCCAAGAACTAGGAGAGGGCAGGACAGAGACATAAATGTCTGCTTTCACAGAGGCTGCCTATGCCACCACCACATGGGGTGGCACGAAAATGCCTCAGCAAGCCGGTATCTTCCCTATGTGGTTTTGTGCTTTTAACTGCCCTTTGCCCATGCCACACACAGCCTTGGGTGGGCAGACAATTCCAAGGCTGTAGCTGGGGCTAGGGTGGGAGGCTACTCCCAGGTCCACAGCTGTCCCTTCCCAAATAGCTGGTGGTGGCACTCTGACCACTTCAAAGACTGGGTTAGGCTAGCCTAGGCCTCCTTGCCTTCCCTCTCTCCTGGGCAGTCTTCAAAGGCTGGTTTGGGGACAGCCTTCCAGGATACTGGCTGCTGTGGTCAAATCTTTCCAATGAGAGCAAATACTGAACTAGTTAATACTGGAATGGATCCAGGCCCAGGCCTATGCAGAGAAGGCCCAAGGAATGGGGGACAGTACAGATGTTCCATCCAGATGGAAGCCAATCAGCTTTGGAAGTATTGATGTGGGGCTTAACCCAAGAGATGGGAGCCTGGGTCCAAGCCCTTTAGGCTTAGCATGGTGAGGTGCAACCTGTGTTCAGGTCTTTTTAAAAGCCTGGGATGTGGAGGTCTCAGGAGGGCCCCACAGCATACAGACATGGCCTGGGTCTCAAGTCTTAGGATGTGCACGAGAAACAACACGATGAGTCTCAGAAGTACACAGGTAAGCCAGCCCCAGACCTGCAGGCATCCCTGGTCTAACTTAGGACACGACCTATCTGGGAGGAGCCTCCTGGGCCCAGGTCTGCCTATATTGCCTGCCAAGAGCCCTGCCATTGTGCTCAAATCATAACCAGTTTGTGCTTCCAACACTTACAACACTTGTGCAATGAGTGGAGCTGGGGGGCCTGCCCCTAACTGTGTACCTTGGACTCCCCTGAAAGTGTGGGCAGGGACTCCAATGCTCCTAGAACACAGCTCAGAGTGGTTGGGGGAGGATGGGCTCAGAGCTCCAGAGTACTTCAAGTTTAGTCAATGACACTCGCCGGGACAGCAGAGCAGCCCCGCCATGAGGTAGTGACCCATCAGAAATGGCAGAAGGGGCAATGGCGGTTGAGCACCTCTCTCGGGGCTGTAAGACCACACACTTCATGCAAGAACTGGCCTTGCAGCTATACAGTACAGGTGCCCCGGGCTGGGGCAGCCCGGCCCATAGGGTCGGAATGTAAGTCTCATGTGTTTCTGTAGTTTGTAAACAGTCATGCAGACAGGTTCTGGGTTTTCTTACAGGGTCTCCATTCAGATAGAGGGGGTGGTAGAGGATAAGACATAGTCACTTCTGAGTACTAAGAAGTTTCTTTGTACTCCTGGGATGGGCAGAGGAAGGAGGATTTCTGGTCATCGAAGACAGACTGTCCAGGCTCCAGATGACCGGTTTTCCAGACGCATCATTCAACAGGCACATCAGCTTACCCAGACTTAACATCATGTCCAGCAGGGGCCACCGACAAGCAAGACAACCTTCTTAGCCCCAGCCTTGGGGTCAGCTCTGGAAGGGCTCAGAGATGGCCTGGCCTCACTAGCCTTAGCTGGGTCTGAACCTCCCATACCAGACCCACACGGACAGGTGCCAGTGGCCTTGGCCACAGACGGAGAGGAGCTGAGGGCATAGGTACCTCGGAGTTAAGGGCTCCCAGGCTGAGACCAGAAAGCACAAGAGCAGTGAAACATTGGAATACCAGTATGGACTAGCTTGAGAGTAGGGGAAGCCAGGGGTGAGAGATGGAGCTGGCCCCTCCTGAGGCCTGTTCCTATAAATTTAGAGTTGTTTCAACAGGGGGCACCAGACATGGATTCAGCCTGAAGCTCATCCCTGGAGCTGAGTCCATAGCCTCAGGGGAAGAAACAAGGAGTCAGGGCCTCCTTATAGCAATCTAGATGGGAAGGCCTTTGGCCAAGGCTGGTTTTAAGGCTTGAAAACCTATCTCCAGAACAGCTAAAGGGAAAAGCTGGGGAGACTCCTGTCCCCTTGGGGAGTGAAAACATAATTGGCTATGGGGAGGGTAGGCAGGGTGCAGGCAGTCTCATTACCCAGGCTGCTACCCAGTGAACGGTTCACCAAACTGCTTCCTATTGGACCACACAGATTCTGGGGAGCCCTGAGCTGTGAGATGGGCTCTCTGACCTTCAGGGCTATGGTCATGAGGCCCACAAATAGAAGACACATGTGGGCTGTGGGCATGGGTGGCATAAGGCTTCCCAGCATGGTGCCAGGCCCCAGGATGGAGGAAGGCACTGAGGCATCAGGCGACCTAGAGACCCGGGCTGTACTGGAAGGTATCCGGGGGTCAGAGCTTGGGCGAGGCCAGAGCTGCAAAGAGCGAAGGGGGCCTTTCCCTCCTCTGAGCAGCAGCAGAGGAGGGGACCCTGGAGTGACAGAGAGAAGGCTCCCAAAAGTAGAGGGAAAGTACACATGGGAAGAAACTTCAAGTCAGTTTCCAGGAGGCAACAGCAAAACAAAAATGAAAACCAATAAATTAAATAACTGCAGTATTCCTGACCCTCCCCAAAGAATCATCTAGTAGTTCCACTGTGGCCCCACCAGAAGGGAGCCTTAAGGAATGACTGGACCCCACTGGGATTAGATGTTGGTGGCCATAGTGTTCAGGGTCAGCTGCAAGACCCAGCTGTCTACATCTGGTTTTCCATGGTTACCTGAGAACTACCTTGTTGGGCTCAGAGGCAGTTACAGTGGCTCCAGAGGAGGGGCTGGGAGAAATGGAGGAGGCTAGCTCACTGGAGGCTTGACAGAGGAGGCTAGCTCACTGGAGGCTTGATGGAGGAGGCTAGCTCACTGGAGGCTAGATGGAGGAGGCTAGCTTACTGGAGATGGGGCTGGGACTGCTTATCCTTCATAGTTTCCGCCCTGGGCTGAGGGCCTGGAGGAAGGGCAGGGTTGGCTCAGCAGGAGACAATGTGGCCAGTGGAGAGAAGGCAGGGGACTGGGGGGTGGGGGAGGGGGATAATGCCCTTTGGCTTCACAGCTTAATTCCCTCCCAAGCCTCTCCTTTCATTAGGAGGCAGGAGAGGGACAGAGGGGACAGTATCCCATGGGAAGGCAAGGGAGAGGAAGCAGAGCAAGAGAGGGGCCATACCCTTTGTCCCCAGTGAAGCTGGCTGGTCTAGTCAGGCCAGGCCACAGCTTCCCTTCCACACTGTGTAGGCTGCTGGGTCTGAGGGTCTGGCCTCCCTCTGTCCTAACTTCGAGGGTGGGCTGGTGGTAGCCGCCGCATGCTCCAGATCTTCACCGTTAGGTCGCTGAGAAGGACAGAGTGAGGGCTGCTCAGCTCTCAACGTGGGTCCAGTTGAGTGCCCCCAAAAGTAAATGATGGGAAGATTCCTTTCCTCCCCCACATATGGATACTACTTAGGGGCAGTGGGGACTGCAGGACAGGGGTACTGGGCAGAGAGAGGCCAGGCCCATGGTCTCGAAGGCCATGCGGGACCATTCTCCTGGGTTTTCCCTTTGTCATTTTGATTTGTCCAGGCCTGAATGCCTCCCACTCTGCTCTCCGCTACCTAGGGTTCTGTCCCGCTGCTCATGCTTGCAAGAGGGGTGGGAGGGTGGGGCAGTCTGTCTGGGCCAGGCAGGACATGGAGGGAGAGTAAGAAGAAAGAGTAAAACAATCTCATACCGTGAAGAAGCAGCTCAGATCGAAGTGGGGAAAGATAGGAAAAGGCAAGAGGGGAGAATGAGAGAAGGGAGGGGCGGGCTAGCGAGGGTCAGGGCAGGGTGGTGGCGCGGCCCTTTATGGCCAGGACTCGGCGAGGAAGGCAGGGGGTGAGTCCAGGGACGTAATTCCACAGCTTTACCCGGCAGTCACTATTGGGGGAAGAGGTGGAGAGGCAGAGAGGAGAGGCAGGAGGAGGTGGGAGGGGAGAGGGAGAGAAGGAACATGGTGGGAACAAGGTGAAAAAAGAAGAACCCCGGCTGAGTAGCACCCCTGGGACTGAGGGCCTGGGTGCTGTCTGCATAGGGGACCAGAGCTACAGTGGAGGCTGAGCAGTGGCAGGGCAGTCTGTTAGCTAGCTACCCAGGCAAGGTAGAGAGCAACTGAGACTGCTGTGTGAGGGGTGGGAGGCCAAGTCCTGGCCTGGGGCCCAGTGGCTCCCTGATCCCCTGCCTGGTGCAGCACCCAGCACACCAGGCACCCAGTGCTCAAAGGTGAATGCTGGAGATAGAAAGGAGGGCGCTGTGGGATTCTATTCTGTGGGCCGGGTCTATGGAACAGCTGCATGGCCCTAAGCCAATTGCTGACCTACTCACTCTAGGGAGAGGGAGGAGAACAAAGTGGCTCTCTCTGCTCAGCACCCACCTGGAGGCTGTGAAGATATGCTTGCTGTTGGTGCAGATGGCATTGATGGGGCTGTCGTGGCCTTTGATCTCACCGATGGGTGTGAAGTTGTCCACGTTCCAGACCTTGATGACACCTGCACGGCAGGCGCTCAGCAGCATGGGCCGGCCAGGGACAAAGGCTAGGGCACACACCCAGTCCTTGTGCGCATTAGGGATTTGCTGTGGGAAGATCAGGGCTGATGAGGTACAGAGAAAGGAGAGGGTCTTTCCTGGGGCCTCAGGAATATGTACATCCTCTTGCCAGTGATTGGAGGGCTGCCACCTGGGCCCTTGCATCTGTGTCCGTCATGCGGACAGGTCCAGTTACTTCCAGAAGCCAGGCGGAGCTGCTCTGTGCCAGGAGACCCAGACTCAGAGGCCCAGATAGGTCCTTCTGCCCTGGCTCTCCCGAAAGGAGAATCAGGGCCTTCACATTCAAACCCAAGGGCTGGGAGCAAGGCTCTGCTAAGGGCAGGGTGCAGAAGGGCCACAGTGGAATCATAGAGGCTTTGGAGAGGGGAGGGTGGAAAGAGTAGGGAAGAGAGTAGACAGGAGGCAGGCTTGGGGTGGGGGGAACTCTACTCATGGTCTGCCCTAGGCCTTGTCCTAGTCCATTCGTCCCCTCCCCCTCCTGCACCTGAATGAGTTCCTGCTGTTCCAGGTCCCATTTCTTGATGCCGTTGTCCCGGGAACCACTAAACAGTATGTCACCCTGAATAGCCAGGCATTCGATACCATCATAGTGTGGGGGTTCAAAGTTGTGGGTGGGGCCAATGGTGCCTGTCACACAGTCACCCAGCTGGAACATCTGCAGGAGGAAGGGCAGACAGGGAGAGCCCAGAGAGGGGCAGGGTTGGGGGCAGGCCTTGTATCATTGTAGTCCCACCACCTCCGTCTCCCTTTTATATGCTTCCTTCCGGTTTCTGGCCATACATAGTTTCCAACTGTATCTGCATAGAGCAAGCCAAAGTAGTGGGGCTTGTATACTTTATAGTTTTTATTTTCGCCCCCTCAGTCCTCAGACATTTAGGTTGTTGACTTTTCACCATTTACAAAATAATTCTATACCCTATCTGCACATACCTTCCTGCCCTCTTTGCAATGCCCTCTACAGCACCAATCCCCATAAATATCATTGGTTTTTTTTTTGTGTGTGTGTGTGCGTGTGTGTGTTTTACTGATCGTCTAATGCAGGGCTTATGCATACTAGGTTAAGTGCTGTCCCACTGAGCTATCCTCTAGCCCCAAACCAGGTTTTGTGTGTGTGTGTGTGTGTGTGTGTGTGTGTGTGTGTGTGTTCGAGTGTGTGTGTGTGTGTGTGTGTATGTTCCTAAGGTAACAGAGGACACAGGCAGAAAAGAGTGGAAGAAACAGTGAGAACACCACCAGCTAGGCCTTGGAGCAGAGGCGGCCCTGGCCAGATCACAGCCAGAGTGTAGGCAGCTTCAGGTACCTTCACATAGTGGTCTTTGGAGCCAGTCACTACAAGATCATGTTGGTTGGTGGTCTGGGTGACTGTCAGGCACATGACTGGGCCAATGTGGCCGGTTAGCTTGCCGATGGGCTGGAATCTGCAGTGGAAAAGCCCAACCAGGGACAGTGGGTTGGAGGGGCACCTAGTTGGGAAAAGCCCAACCAGGGATAGTGGGGTTGGTGGGGTACCCAGTTGGGACCTAACAGACAGGCCTGGCCAGGCTGCTCTTCTTCCCCTTCAAGTGTGATCAAGGACCACGGTTTTCAGAGGAGGGGTACAAGTTCACAGCTTGGGGAACTGGGGGCACTGCCCACCATGGGGTGGGTCATCCCATGCATGTTGAAACTTCAGGCCTCCTTAGGCCTCTTCCCTAGACATCTCACTGACCTGCTGAGCTCCCAGATGCGAACAGCATTGCCAGAGGCGACATACAACATGGTGCCTGAGGGACTGAGGGCCATCTGGTTAATCTGATGCTCCCCCTGGGCACTGGTGATGGCACGTGTAGATGTGGCTGCACAAGCATCTCCTGAGATCACCTGGCCTGAGGACCTACCCAGAGAAGCAAAGCCAGAAATCAAAAGAGTCTATCCATGAAGATCAAGAAACTAATAAAACCCCACTCAGACTGGCTCCAGTAAGCCACTTCTAGGTTGCCTTCCCTATCAGAACAGAACACCTTCCCCTAGAAGCAGGACCAAGGGACAGTTTCACTCTGCCCACAGCAAGACTAGTCTCTGCATAGTCACTGGTGTACCTGGGCAGGCTGGAGTACACTGTCAGATGGAGTCATGGCTGGGGAACTGGTTCATCAGTTAGAGCATGTACTGGTCGTGCAGAGAACCTGAGTTCAGTTCCCAGCACCCATGTCAGGAAGCTCATAACCACCTGTAACTCCAGTGCCAGGAGATCTGACACCTCTGGCCTTTGTAGACATTTGTGTATATACAGACACAGACACAGATACAGACACACAGACACACACACACACACACACACACACACACAAAACTTTAAACAATAAAATAAATTTTTAGAGATAGGTTTTGAACCTGGCTCATGTAGAAATCATTAACTTCTCTGAGCCCCAGTTTCCTTATCTGTTCAGAGAAGTGAAAAATCTCCATTTTGTGTATTTTTATCACACTACTATCACCACCACCACCACTACTAAATCTTCTTCCCCTTTCTACTCTCTTCCTCCTCCACTTCATCCTCTTCCCCCTCCTCTTCTTCCTCATTCCCTTCTTCCTCTTCCTCCTCCTCCTCCTCCTCCTCCTCCTCCTCCTCCCTTTTCCTCTTCCTTCTCCACCTCTTCCTCCCCCTCTTCTTCCAGAGAAGTTTAAGGCTTACAGCAAAACTGAGCAGAAGGCAGTTTCCCTATATCCATCTTTCCCCAGTACATGCACAGCCTCCCCCATTACCAATACCCCACACCATAGTGAAGCCTTTGTTACAGCTGATGAACCTATACATCATTGCCCAAGCTCATCATTTCTACTGGGGCTCCTCATTTGGGGTGTTCTTCATTCTGCCAATTCAACCAAATATATGATATAATCTGTGATTACACTATCATGCATAGTAAGTTAACTGCCTTAAAAATTCTCTGTGTTTGCTTTTTAAGGAACAAACTAAACAACTTATAGCTTATAATACACACATGTACAAAACATGACTTTTGGAATGTTGGTTCTGTGCTCCCCCAACCCCCGCCCCAGTTCAGTACCCTGTGCTAGGTGGCTTATTGTGAGGCAGATGGCTGGCCTGGCTTGGAGGCTGCTGCCACCTGCTGGTCTCAGCTTGTTTTTTATTTCTTGGGTCATATGTAGCCCATCTCAAATGATAGGGCTTGAGGTATTCAGACAAAAGGGGGCCAGGCAAGCCAAAGGCTCACCAATCTGCTACCCCAGAAACTGCTCCCCATAAACCAAAGGATCTCACTTTGTACCCCAAGAGTCAAGTCAAGTCTATGGGACACGAAGGGCCTTTGTGCCCATGTAACTGGGCTAAGAAGCAGTTTTCTCTAGTCAAGCCTGGTGAGGCAGATGTGGGGGGGCACTTACGTGAGGGTCCTAATGCACTTGGCTGAGTCCCGGATGTCCCACACCTTGATATAGGAGCTGGACACAGAGAACACCAGCCCTGAGTGGCTACAGTACTTGATGGAGACCACGTTGTTGGGGTGGCCCTTGAGAGCTGCAATCTCCTGCCCTGTTACCAGGTTCCACATTTTGCAGCTACGGTCTGTCAGAGACAGGGAAAGGACCATGAGGAAGGGGTGATATTATTCAGGGGCCTGGAAGCTCCCTTAAATGAGAGGGTGAGGTCAAAATTAGGAGGGAGAGATGGAGAGGCACCTCAGAACTCTGTCTGAGGGAGAATCATGCACATGTGTACAATGCTCATAAAAAACTCAGGAGACACAGAAGTTGCTAAGAACCTTAGATCAGGGTGAGTTCTGTGTCCTGGGCTACAAGAAAGTCCCCATAAAATACTAAGACTAATTAAATGACTAAGTGGCAAGCAAATACGGGAAAACTTAGAGCCAATCAATCAATCACACCTTGATTGACGGCTATCCCCTCTTCTTGTGTGTGTGTGTGTGTGTGTGCATGCATATAGGTATACACATATATGTATATGCATATATACACATACATATATCCCCCCATATATGTTTATATTCCTATTATGTGTGTCTGCTATAGACTTGTGCTTTCTGTTGGTCAAATCTTTAACTGTGCTACAGTGACTAGCAGGACTGTAGACTCCTGCTGCTGAGACCACAAGAATGGCACAGCTATGGCTCCTGAGATGATGTTGGGGGAGTGGTGGTACTGGAGGACTGAGATGTTGAACATCTGAGAAGCTTCCTGAAGTTTCTAAGGGAGGTGGAGGGTGTTGCTGGTAGAACCAGAAGGATCAGGTAGGAGTGAAGACTTGGCTGGGGGTGTATGGGAGTCTTGAGCCAAGGTAAGACATAAAGAGTGATGAGTAAGCTGTCTCTCATAGCCTCAACTCGGGGTGGGGGGCTCTGTGTTTTGTTGCCTTCACAGCTCACTCTGGAAAAGGAATTTGGAGTGGGTAGGAGGCCACATTCCATTGGCCTCTCAAGTCACCACTCACCTTTGGACCCTGTGAAAAGCAACTCATCGGTGGCATCCAGGCAGAGGATGGGTTTGGTGTGGCCCTCAGCCATGGAGATGCACTGCAGTGGGGCTGTCCGGGCACCCTTAGCTCCTCCAATGGGGGTGATGATGCCCCTTCCCAGGAGAGAGGGAGAGAATATGTGCCGGTCAGCCAAGGAGGCTGTGGTCAGGCTGACTGAGGCACACGTGAGAAAGGGGTCTGGGTAGAGAGGAGACAAGGGGTGATGACAGAAACTCCAGGGCCTCTAGCAAATTCCACCAAAGGTCTGAGAGTTGGGAAGTGCTAAAGTTGCCATCCTCAACACTTTGAAGGAGGAAGCCCCATGCTAGGCACGCTGGAAGGAGCAGGATGGGAAGCTGCCTAACCCAGAGCCAGAGCCAGGCATGCGGTCATCCTGGGTGGGACAGGGCAGAAGCCCAAGTACTGGAATTAGCCCCTGAAGTTCCCACCAGTCTATAGGCTGCTTTGGCTACCAAGAGTAAAGGGAAGGCAGCAGAGAGGGAAGGATGTCCTGGCTATCACCCTCCCAGTACTTCATCTGTAGTCACTGCTCTGTGGCTGGTACCTCTCAGCAGTGAGACTGACGTACACCTACCCACAGGACCCTGTTGGTTCAGCATGGTCAGGTCTGTACCTGTCATTTACAAAGGGGTAAATCAAGGCTGGGTGTGGTGGCACACACTTGTAATCCCAGGCAGGAGGATTGCTGTGCATTTGAGGCAGACCTGGTCTATATAAGGAGTTCAAGGCCAGCCTAATATATATAGGAAAACCTTGTCAAAAACAACACCATCACTACAACTCCCTGCCCAAACCCCAAAGGGATATATTGCCTTGGGGGACTATAGCTCAGCTGAGGGCTGGGATGCTTGGGCCTCTCTGGAATGAGGCAATCGGGACATGGAATAACACCTGCTTGCTCTGCAAGGCACTCTGGGAGCAGGAATGAAGTTGAACCAAGTAAGCGCGAGGGTTTTGCTACACCTGCCTCCTGGAGTTTTGAGGATGATTTTGTTTTTCTCATGGAAGGTCTTTTGGGATGAGATCCCCAACTAATTTATTTCTGAAACCACATTCCAGTTCCTTTTAAAAGAGAATGCTGTTCCTGACAGTGATGCTACAGCTGAGGGTTTACTGAAATGACCAATGTCCCACTTGCAGTACTCTGATACAGCCCTGGTAGACTTGGCCAAGCGCAACACCAAGACAGCAGTTAGAAATGCCCAATTGCCAGATAAGCACATGCACAAATAGTTCTCCAAGCTGCTCTTTTTCCCCATCTGCGATGCTGTTTGGGCTGAGTTAGCCCAAGCCAGCTGTGGAAATGTGTTGAAAGGAGAGCCTGCCCTCTGAAGAGGTCTCCCATTGGCAAGACCTCACTCCACAGGAGGATAGTGAGTGGTGCCAACCCTAGCTCAGAATGTGGTGAGTAGAGATCAAGCCTGGAGAGTTAGAGGGAGCTCTTGCCCTTTGATGAGAGCCTTCTGGTATGGTCCTAAGTCTTGTTCCTACTGTGGGGTGCTATGCTGGGTAGGCTTGGGAGACCAGCTTCTTGTTGTCCCATGGGCCGAAGAAGAGGAGAACCCACAATCTGCATACCAGGAGATGTATGCAGTAGTGCTGCCTCCCTGGTACTCTCTCAGAGCCAAAGTCTGCAGGGCTCACTCACTGGCACAAGCTAAGTCACAAGGACCCCACACATAGCCACCACTGCCAATAACACCTGATAAAGAACCAGCGACCTGACAGGTACTCATGGTACCCCCGCCTTTCCCTTGCCAGCAGAGCTCTGCTCCAACTCCAGCCTACCCCAAGGCTTTCATGTCCCACCCCTTCCCACCCCTACCTTGCCCAAGGCACGAGGGAGAACAGGGCTGGCCACAAGCAACTGCACCTCCTCTCCAAGACTTTAGCTCCAGCCAGGCCTGGAACAGTCTGGGGCCAAGGGGCCACCATGAGAGGAAGGAACCATGGGGCAAGAAGAGGTGTCAGGAGGGACACGGAATGTGGAGGCAGGGGCTGGGAGAGGAGGGGCTGCATGCTGAGGACAGGTGTACAGGCAGGAGGGGCTGGTGTAGCAAGAGGCAAAGAGAAAAAGAAGAGAGCGCGAGTGGGGATCAAAATGAGAGACATTCTGTGTATACCTCAGGACCTCCGACAAAGAGGAGTCGCTGTCATCAGACCTGGGGAGGGCAGAAAATTAGCTGGATTAGGGGGGAGAGGAAAACACACATAGGAATGGCAGAGACGGCGGCAGCAGCAGTGGCAGCGGCAGCACAGGGAGGTCAGAGGGTCAGAGGGTGGCTGTTATCTTCAGGGCAGGCAGAAAGAGGCAGGAGGAGGAGGAGGCTCAAGGAGAGCAGGAGAGGGGAGATTGGGGACAGACTAGCCTGGGAGCTGGGAGAATCCCCCAGCAGTGGCCACTAGAGGGTCTCTCAGCTAGCAGGGTGGGGGTAAGGAGAGGGCCACAGGAGGTATGGGAGGCCAGCCCATACTTGGGTAGATGGTTCCAGGGCTCGTTGCTAGTTCCAAGCTCTCTGGCTGGCCCACTGCACAAACTGGAGGCAGATATCTTACCCCAGCAAGGCCAGAAGAAGCCCTAGTTGCTCTTACCCCTTCTTGAGACCATGTCTAGAAGCTAGTTTTGTCTTCCATGTGGGTCCCAACTAGATAGGACCAAAGCCTGTAGACCAGGCTAGGATGGGTGGAACCTTATCCCAATTCTTAAAAAAAAAAAAGGGGGTGTGTGTAAGTTTAAGTCCAAGAGGATATGGTGACACATGCCTATAATCCCAGCACTCTTGAAGCTAAGGCAGAAAGATCAAGAGTTCAAGATTAGTCTGGGTGCATGGCAAGACCCTGTTTTTTCTTTCTTTCTTTCTTTCTTTTTTCTTTTTGGTCTTTTTGAGACAGGGTCTCCCTGTAGACCCAGCTGGCCTGGAACTCACAGAGATCCACCTGCCTCTGCCTACCAAGTGCTGGGGCTAAAGGTGTGTGCCACCATACCTGGCAAGACCCTGTTTTCTTTAAAAAAAAATGTGACCAGTCAGGTCAATTACAATGGCATATGGGAAGGGCATACCCTGATGAAGGAGGGCCAGGCTTGCCCACAGCTCTTCCAGTAAGAGCTGAGTTGAGGTATGCTTAGGGAAGAATGGTATCCAGGGTGTTGGGCTGATGGGTTTGCCCTTGCCACTCACGGTCAGCATCTATGGAGCAGCATTTTGAGCCTGGAAGGGGCATCTCTGTGAGGGGATGGGCAGAACACATATCAAAGGTACAAAGGACAGCAGTATAACCTAGGGTCCCCTGAAGGTCACAGCACCATTGCCTCTTATGGCGGGGAAGTTTTTAGGGAGCCAAGAGAGGAGCTTTTCAGGAGATTGCAGAACTGAAGAAGGCCACAGTGGGCCCAGCAGCTTGCGGGGCACAAAGAGAAACTCAAGAGGATGAAGTATTCCCCCAGGGACAGACTAGTGGGAGTTAGCAGCCCCGGGCCATGGACAACTTTCTAGACAAAAACCCTTGAGTCCTTCTTTGGATTACATTCTTCTTAAGCAAACCAAGGAAAACTGACAATCATTGGGCTGACTGGCAGTGCTTGTGGAATCATGCGTGTGAGAGCAGATTGCAAAGCAAGGTGAGCACCTTGTGAACGCAGGGCTGGATGTGAACAGAAATGACCCCATAGCCATTACAGCAGCTGGTGAGTACAGATGGAGCTGAGCCTGCCACATGAAGGAGACCCAGAGGCCTCTGTCTGCTGGGCAGTGCACAAGGACCACAGGACTCTATGTAAAGCACTTGCAATCAGGTAGGCTAATGGCTGAAGATGAAGGGCTTCAGAGAAAGCAGGACAGTTGAAGCAGATGAAAGGGGCATTTCTGGTATGCCTGTCCCACATGACCACCACTCCTGACTGTCCTGCCACAGTGCAGTAGGTCCCAGCATGCTTGGGGGAAGGGGACACCCATGGTCAGTACAAAAAGGATAAGTATATCAGGTCTTCATGGCTCAGAGGGGCTGGAACAGTTAACCCGTGCCCAATGAGGCCCAGAAACAAGCTCCCCACGAGCCTCAGTGCCCTCCCTGGCTTTCCTCAGCCTTGTTCTTACTTGTCCAGTGCTGACCCCTGGCTCTGGTTGCTGGTGAGACGAGAGAAGACATTGCGGTCATTGCGGGGCCGAGTGGGAGGAGATGATGGAGGTGTGAATCCCATGTCTGTAGATCTGGTGAATGGGGACAGACAGCAGCTTGAGTGACCACATCCCTGCCCACAAGTGTACCTGGGACTGGGCTTCAACCTTTTGTCCCCATCACAAGGCCCTCAGGAGAGGGCCCATTGTGTGGTGACATCAGAGCTCCTTCCCAGTCAAGTTCCCAGATGGTATTCTTCAAATCCCATCCTCATGCTGTGTGTGGGGATTCATGCGCTTCCTGAAATCCATTTGTAATCCCACAATCAATCTCCTGGTGCTTATCTGTACCATTTTCAGACTTACACAGAGCAATGAAGATTTTGAGTAACTCAAATGTGTTTCTAGCCAAGGCTGTTTCCACTCTGATCCTGGAAACAAGTGTCTTGTTGATACTCTAGTTAGTGCTTATTTGTTCATTATTGCAGTTTGTGTTTTTTTAAGGACAATTTTGAATTTTTGTTTTGATATTGATCTCATTATGTAGCCTTGACTGGCCTAGAACTATGTAGACCAGGATGGCCTTGAATTTGTAGTGACCCTCCTGCCTCTGCTTCCTGGGTGCTAGGATTACAAGTATGGGCTACCATGACCAACTATATGGTGATTTTGATTTGTGAAATGGCCCCTAAGCATAGCACAGAAGTGCTGTCTGGTATTGCTAAGTATCAGAAAGCTTGAGTGAGGCTTATGGAGAAAATCTGTGATTTAGATGAGCTTCATTCCAGCATGAGTTATAGTGCTGTGGTTGTGAGCCCAGTGCTGTCCATGATATCCATTAGCTAAGGTGTCTTTAAATAGAGACCCACATAGAACAAGGTAATGTGCTGATTGGCCATTGAAATTATGATCAGAAGCTCACAGGAACATAATCCTACATCTCCCAAGGAGCAATAACTCCATTTTCACTGATCCAGTGTTCACAGCAACTTCGAGGAACATAACTGTGAACCATGAAAACTGATGGTACCTCCAAGGAAGACCCTATGACCCTGCTCAGTCCTCTTTTTGGAAAGCTGTCATTACATTCAGCTTAAACCTCCCCTACTTTGGAGTGTCATCATGAGTTTGGTGTAAGTCCTCAGACTGCAACTTAAATTGTTCTGAGTTCACAGATGAAATGACAGTCCATTAGGCTTCAAGAACACATATGTCCCTCCAACTCCTCTCCACCAAGGCCACTTTATAAGCACTGCTCAAGGCATCTGCAGAGGCTTCAGAGAGGAGGGAAGACTGGGGCATAGCCTCTTCCTGCCTCCCACCCAGGTAGAGTGCAATTGGTCATACCGAGCCCTGCTGATTCACTATGTAGCTGTGGAACCTGTAGAAGGCCACCAAACCTCTGAAGATTTAGGTCTATGACCCCAGGACCACAAAAGGTCATCTGAGATGAGCAGAAACTCTTCAGGGCTGGGCCCACGTGTGCCTGACTAACTGGAAACCTTTCCGCTGTTCTGCATGGACTTCTTTGGAATTCAACGCTCCTTTCATATGAGAAAAACTTAAAAAGGGTGGAAACTCCCAAGGACTCAAGGCCATAAAAAGGGGCTGAACTACATTAGGTCAATGATCAGCTGAAGCTACTGTGGAGCCATCTTAGGTTGACTGCACACTGGAGTTTTTTAGCCCATGGCTTGACAACCTAGTTCCAGGTATCTTTTGGAGATGGCATTTCCTGATCCCATACCTCATAGGGTAGGGAAGGTTCATGGAAAAACTGAATAACTGAGGTCAGCTGGGCCGGATTAGCAAGGGTATGATGATCTACAGAGCAGAACCTCATAGCCATTCATGCACCTAAGGCCTAGACTGGCAGTGACTCTGGAGCAGATTCTATAACATGCTCTCACCTGATGGGCTGACCTCGGTCATATGACTTCCTTCGGGTCAGAGGTGATGTGTCTGTGCCTCCTCGAGACTGCCGGGGGCTGGAACAGAAGGGTCCAGTGAAGCCAAGACCTAATTTTCTGCCCACCTTGACCCATGTTCCTGGATCCCCTCCTTACAAAGTGCTGCCCCGAGTGGGCAGGCTGACAGTGCGTGAAACTTTGTCCCTGTAGTAGGGGTCCCGGATAGAGAAGCCCACTCCATCTTCTTTGATCTCAACAAGGGAGGCCAGGGACTTGGTAATGTTCTTGGTGGAGCTGTCCAGTGGGGGTCCCAGGCACTCAGCAGACACAGCCTTCATTTGGGCAGACAGCTTGGGTTCACCCTAGGAAAGGAAGAATGGACTGATTTTCCCAACTGAATGGCCTATAAAAGAGAGGCTAGAACTGGACCTGATGGCTCAGACCTGCAATACCAGCTACATGAGACTGAGGCTGAGGATCACATGTTCAAGGCTGCCTGGGCAACTTAGTAGGACTCTTATCTCAAACTTAAAAAATAAAAATAAAAAGAGCTGCAGATATAGCTCAGTGGCAAGGTACTGCATAGTATATGCAAGGTCCTGGGATCAATCTCCAGGAATGAAAAATAAAACACAAAAACAGGTGGGAGGTAAGTCCTAGGAGGGAAATGGTGCTGCCTGGTCTGAGGGAGAGTTGCTGATTGGAAGGACCCGAGCAGGCATCACACAGAGATGTCACCTGAGCTCCACAGCTAAACTCTTTAGCCTTCTGGAGAATCCAGAGCAACTAAGACTGTTTTCCTGTCCTTAGCTGGACTATGCAAACCACAGAGTGTCTTGACTGCTAATCAGCTCACCTCAGAACTATACATAACGCATTGCTCCAAGTCTGCAGTTTAATAAATCTTGAGTGTCAGTTCAGTCTAATCATTAATCCTTTGCTGTTTAGAAAATTTTGACTATTGACTCTCATGGTGCTGAGCAAGTATCTGCAGGAAAAGTAACTAGATACCTACAGTTAGGCTTTGACTCAGAGCCAGAGCAGTCTCAGGTGCAGAAGGAGGCATTTTGTAAAGAAGAGTCTATGGATATAGTGATGTCACCAGGTAGTAACCAGCAGTAGCTCTAGTTATTTCTCCCACCTACCCATCTTGAAAAGAATGGGATGCCTGGCCTACCTAGCTAGTTCCAGGCTAGCCAGGGCTACAAAGCTGTTGCTATAACAAGTTACACATCTGGGTACCCCAAATTCTAGGTAAGATCCTTTTTGTCTGAGGATAAAACTGAATTGGGGCTGAGGATAGAGGCAGAACCCAGAGGCTGTGGGAGAGTGTCCCAAATGCACCTATAGCTTTTCTTCTGGCAATGCTTACCTTGAACTTGAAGTCATCATGGCTGGTAGAGCCTTTCATAGTGAATGACTGGGAAAAGCTGAGGAAGAAGAAAGGAAGTTCAGGATCCTGATAGCCTACACTGTATCTCTAGGACTTAGAACTAAGGTCCCCAAAGAGTCTGCAAATCCAGGCTCAGTCCTGGACCTTATGGCAACCCCTCTTCCAGTCTCAGGTTGCAACCTCTGACTCCCAGCTTGGAAACTTACCTCCCCTCAGAGAACTCTGAGACCTCTTCATCTGTGCTTGCATAACCATTCTCTGGGGGAGGAGGGAGAAAAGGAAAGAAGGAGAGTTGAGAGGCTCATTAGAGTGTGGAGAAAGGGGCACAGCTTCCCTCCTGCATCTCTGCACTGGGTTCAGACCAAGGCTTCTGAGGAAATTCTGAGGAAGCAAAGGTGTCTGGGGATTGGTCATAGCAGGCAGCTTGGGGAGCTGGAAGGCCTTCCCCACACCCATGCATACCCTGCTGCACATTGTAGATGAGGGCCTGAAGCTCTGGGTGTGCCTCAGCTTTTTCTCGCAAAGCGTCCAGGAGCAGGTGGTTCTGGGAAGAGCCTGTCATGTCTGTCTGCCTCAGGCGTCCCTCTAGCAACCGGATCTGGGCTTCCTTCTGTGCCACTTGCAGCCCCTGAGGACAAGGAGCAAGGCCTGGGGTTACCCTTCCTGGCCTGGGGGTGATGTTGCAGCCTCCTAGGTAACCACACACACTAGAGGAGGTTACTTTAGCATATACCCTTATGGGCTAACCTATGTCATCTCCACCCCCCATATTCATATGCAAAAGTCCCAAACCCTATTACATCAGAATATGACTATACTTGGAGGCAGGGCCTTTAAAGTGGGAGACAGGGCAATATGAGGTCATATGGGTGAGCCCTAATACAGTGTGGCTAGTATCCTTATAATAGGTCAGGATAGGCCATACAGAGGAAAGACTGTGTAAAGACACAATGGCTGTGGAGAGAGGCTTCAGAAAAACCACGTTGCCTACACCTTGATCTTGGACTTAGTAAATCCCTGCTGCACCAGCCTCTCAGTCTGTGGCACTTTGTCATGGCAGCCCTAGCACACTAGGATAGTCCCTTAAGACATAAAGCAGCACTGAGGAGTCACCGGGGACCTGGTGAGGAGTCAGGCAGGGTGGCTTCCCAACCTCTTTCTAGTTAACCATGTACATTCCAGGTGGTGTCTGTCCCCAAGACTCAGGCCCCAGGGCAGGAGGATTCCCTGGCCAGTGATCAAGAACAGGAGCCCAAGAAATGCTGAAGGGTTCCTGATGTTCTAGTGGGCAGTGGGTGAAATGCAATCGTTCTGTCTCTTGCTCCTCAATTCTCAATGTACAAACATTTCTCTCTGTACCTCAAACAGACCCAAGTCCAGTCCTGCTGTGGATGGGCCTGGGCCACGTCACCTTTAATAGAAGCCATGCAATGTGCCAAGCCCCTTAAATGCATCATCTCTTCGAAGCCATATGATTGACTACAAGCTCAGTACCGTCCTCACCCTAGTTTTACAGCCAAAGAATCTGAGGCTTGGAGGTCCAGCAACTTGTCCCAGCCTGTCAATGACGCAGGCAGAGAGGAGCCAGCCCTGTGGGCTTCACCACCAGGGTATGTGATGGCAGGGCCCTGTGCCAGAGGCACTGCCAGCTCACCTTGTCAATGGATGCCTTGAGGAAGTTGTCCAGCAGGAGGCGGGCTTCAGCCAGGGAACAGGAACTGATGACCACTGAAGTGTCTGTTGAATCCAGCTCCTCCTGGGACCAAGAAGCAGAAACCCTGTCACACAGAGCTACCCAAGCTCACTCATCACTCTCATCCCCACCCAGCCAGGCTGGGTCCTGTAGGCACCTTGGTTTCTTCCAGCTGCATGATAGTGGCTTGGCAGTCAGTGATGCTGTCGTTGATGTAGTCAATGTTGGCTGCCAGTACCTCAATCTCCTCAGCCAGCTCCTGCAACCCCTTCTCCTCCTCAGGACTTTCAGTCTGCAGCCGCTCCCTCTTCCTCCGCAGTGCCTCTTGCAGGAGGAATAGCTCCTCCCTTTTCTGGGGGATGGTGATGGAGAGGGCACCTCAGTGGGCAGCCAAGTCCTGCCCACAGTTCCCACCCCAACCCACCCACCTGCCTGGGGTCTTCTAGAGATGTGAGCAGGCATGAGGAGCAAAGGGAAAGGTGTGAGGAGCCAGAAAAGTGGGAGGGTGACAAGATAGCGTGGGAGAAAGATGGGGAAGTAAGCCCCACCTTGATGAGGCGCTCCATGTCGGCCTCCAGGTTGACAATGGTCATCCTCTGCATGACAATGTCGATGATCCTCCTCTCCAGGGACTGCCATTTGAGTCTTGCAGCCTTACTGAAACTCTGGCTGGCCCCCTTCTTCTGGAACTTCTTCCTGGGAGGCCAAGGCAAAGGAGAGTGGGCAAAGGAGAGTGGGCTGACTGTTCTTAACCTCTGCAGCTCCCACATAGACCTGGCCCCAAAGTACTTTCTGGATCTTCACTTCCCCTCACCCTGGTCCTGTGTTCTGCTTTCTGCCCATAGGACATGGCACTGCCCATCCACCTCACCTGGCGGGACGGGTGCCATTGACAGTTGCTGCAGGGTGGTCCCCTAGGAAATGGTTGATCTTGCGGTTCCACTGGCGCACGATGCTGGAGACAGAGCGGGCTCCTGATTCAGCCTCAGATGAAGTCGTGCTAGCAGATACTTCAGCCCCAGAATCCAAATTGGGTGGCTTCAATCCTACACGCCCTGCTACCCGATCAGACATGGGTTTTGCCAGGCGCCTCAGTGCAGAAACCTGGGGGAAGGGGAAACGAGAAGAGGGGAACAGTGAGCAAGGTAGCCTGGAGTTGTGCAAGAGGTGCCCAGCTTGAGGTATTGGAGTTGGAAAACAGGCAACCCTGTGCAGGCCTGTGCTTGTGGCTGCAGAAGTGCCAAGAAGTCTCTGATGTGAAATCAATGCAAGAGATGTCCGTCTGTCTGTCTCTGGAGGGCTATGTATTTGTGAGTGGCATGCACATGTGTTGGCTTGCATGTGGAGCCCAGAGGTGGACACTGAGTGTCTTGGTCTGTTACTCTCCCCCTTATTTTTAAAGACATTTTAAGATATTTTTAAGTCTTTCACTGAACCCAGAGCCTGGCCAGCGAGTTCTGGGGATCCACCTGTCTCCACCATGCCCCAACTTTTACGTGGGTGCTGAGAGTTGAAACACAGGTCCTCATGCTTGTGTGGCAAGTACTCTTCTAACTGGGTCATCTCTCTAGCCTTTTTTGTTCTTTTTTAAATGACCAGCGTGGCATTTGGGGATGCAGTCTGTAGCCTGCCCTCTACCTCGGCTCTCTGTTTGAGAAGGCATGTTGCAAAACCTATGTTGCAAACAATTTGGCGAGACTATGTTTGATGAATGAAAGGAGAGCCAGGGCCACGAGTAGCATAGCGTCCCCTCTTACTCCTCAGAGGAGAGCACCCGAAGAGCCAGGGCTAACCCTGTGTACCCAATCGGTCTGCTGAGAGAGCTTACCTCCTGGGTCTTCCTCCTCAGGACTATTTCCTGCTGCCGCTTCTGAGACTCCAGGGCCCGGATCTGAAACTGAGAGAAAAGGGCTGGGCCACATTCAGCTGCCCACATCCTTTCTGTCCTGGCAGGGCTGGGGACAGACTGGACAATTTGGTAGCCAATGCTCAAGATTTTCTTGTGTGGAGTGATTCTCATGTAACCAAACAGTTAATAACATGGGACCCAAAGTTACATGATCCATCCAGAGGTGGCAGTGAGTCAAGGACTCCTGCCCCGCAAGGGCAATTCCCTTGGTCTTATCTCCTACCATGGACATGAATCTGAACTAGAAGGCTCAACCCTCCTGGGCTGGTGTTTCTGGGCCTGAAGCTTCATGTGCCTGATTTGCTGGTGACCCTGGGCAAATTTCTGCCTACATACTTCCTTAGGACATATGGGGAGCTAGGCCAGAAACCTACAATGGCCCTGCCCTTTAGATAGGCTGACTCTGCTCCAAGTATGACTAGTTACTTGGGACAGCAGGAACTGGGGCCAACTTGGCTGGGATGGCTGGGCATGCCCATGGGAGACTGGGAGGCTGAGAACTGTTAAGGTCCCTTACCTCCTGCCGCCGCTGTTCCTTCTTGAGCTGTGCGATCTCCCGGTTTCTCTTGGTCTCTACCAGTCGTCGCCGTTGCTGCTCCTCTCGCATCTGCTTCATGAGGGCTACCTGGATGGCAAGAGGCAGTGGACATGAGGCAGGGCTGTGTAGAGGTGACCCATGTGCTCCACGGAGTAGCTAGTTGTTAGGACACTAGGCAGGGATGGCAGCCTTCCAAGCAACATTGACTCAGGGGTCTGGCGCAAGAGATGGCCTCTCCACTTGGGGGCTAAGTCACCTGGACAACATCTTGAAGGAGTGGCTTTACCACTAGCCTCAAAGTATAGGTACTCCCTATAAAGTCCACCTCTGCTCCCACTCAAAGCCACAATCCTCAGTCTGGCTAATCAGAACAGCCAGGTTGCTGGAGGCAGAACTCTCTCCTGCTGACAGCCTGAGCTGTGGACAGTGCCGAGGTGTAGGTCAGGGCCAGGCTTATAACAATAGCAATGTATATTGAGAATCAGATATATGCCAGGACCTGTCCTTATGATAATCATATGAGAAAGTAAAATTTCCTGTTTTATAAAGAAGGAAATGAGCCTTGAAGAATTAAAATGACTTAGGTACTGGAGAGATGACTCAGCAGTTAAGAGCACTGGCTGTTCTTGAAGGGGACCTGGGTTTGGTTTCCTGTATACACATGGTGGCTAACAACCATCCATAACTCCAATTCCAGGGGATCTGATGCCCTATTTTGGCCTCCAAGGGCACTGCACTCACAGGTATACTTACATACACATAAGCAAAATACTCATACACATAAAATAAAAATAAATTTAAAAAATTAAAATGACTTAGAGCCGCAGAACTAGGAATGGATGGCCAGACTGAGAGCCCATTTCATTTTGCCTCCTAATACAGGGTCCAAGACCCAGCTACATAACTTGCCTGTGTGGCTGCATGCCTCACTCCAGGGAACTGAGCACACTCCAGGCATAGGACAGTGGTGAAGTGAGCCTAGTACTGAGAACAGAATTGCTCTGAGACAGGAGTCACTATGCCCTCTTGTGCAGAGACCCTGCAGCTGGGGGCCCAAACCCAGTTCAGTTCTGAGCATGGGCAGGGGGACCCTTAGACACTGGCCCTGCTTACAGTCCTTGGCTACTGCTCCTTCTACCCTTCTACTGAAGTACCTGGTCCCTACTAGGGTAGCCCCTGGGATGACCCTATGCTGTTCTTTTCCACTTTTAGCCCTGGAATCACACAAGCACAGTCACATGGATAGAGTTGGGCCCTGGCTGAAGGCCTTGGCTGCTAGAGATTGAAGCACATGCCATATGTGGATCCTTCTATCTTCAACCATGTCCTGGGTACTAGGCTGCTTTTTCAAGTTTCAGAGCCCCATGAGAATAGCCTTTTGTGGGGCTTTTCAGGGAAATGCCCACTGGAGCTGGCCAGGAAAGGCTGGGAGTACCTTGTAGAGAGTACCAACAAGAACTCCAGGGAGGGAGAAAGGGAGGGAGGGAGGGAGGGAGGGAGGGAAGAAAGGAAAGAAAGACTATCTAAGACAGGATTGGAATAACTATAGTTTGGTAAAGGGGCAGATCAAAGGGGACTGCAGACAGCTCTGCCTAGAGATAAGGCCCACTGGGCCTCCCTCCATACTACCAAATGGCATCTGGGCCAGAGAACTTCGTAGGTACTTGAATACCAAGTACCTTCATCGCCAGTGGCGTCTTGTCCACAGGATAGATGCACTGAAGTAGTGAAAACAGGGCTCATTGGGGCTAAGCCAGTCTGAGCACAGCAAGGTAGGGCCTCCTTCATCCTTCTCAGATCTTGTCCACAGGATAGATGCACTGAAGTAGTGAAAACAGGGCTCATTGGGCTAAGCCAGTCTGAGCACAGCAAGGTAGGGCCTCCTTCATCCTTCTCAGCTGACAGAAACCTGGATTTTGTCCCAGGCTTGGGGACAGAGCCTGCCCAGGTGTAGGTCTACTTCCTCTACGATCGATATCAGCCAGCAAGGCACTGCCTCTTTCCTGTGTGCACTGTTCAGCATCCATTGAGTCAGCAGGAAAGACAGAGTTACTGATGGCTCATATTCCACGAGTCCTCGAGGGACTCATCTTGCTGGGGCTGCTACTTTTGTTAGGCTCTGATAAGGGTCTAGCCCCAGAGCCTAGCCAAGATCTGCAGGGAGCTGGGAGACATATGAAGCTAAGGGCCAGGGCAGGAAGGTCCAAAAAAGTAGAAAAGGGAGCCCCAAGCCACCATGAACACATGATAGCTTGGAAGGTCAAGGACAGAATTTCACATTCCAGAGTTACCTCCTGGTAGCAGGAATTAACATCCTTGGGCCTCAAATCTCCATGAATACAATGGGAATTGCATCCTTTTTTTTTTTTTGGCTAAGGATGGACCATGACCCAGCATATAAGATGCCTTGCCAAGAACTTGGCCACAGTGACAATTATTATGGTGATTAAAGAAAGGCAAAGGTTGTATTAAGTATTCGTGTGCAGAGAAGGCAATTTGTAGTATAGTTTCCTACCACAGGGCAGCATTGCCTGCACACTCACTCTACACAGGAGCCCAGTACTGGGATGAGGTTACACACTCAGCTAAGAGGGGAGTGTCCATGGTTGGGACAGGGCTGAACCAGGCAATGGTGCATGTCTGGTGGAAGATCCACACTTGACAACAGTGACAATGTTTGACGTGGAATGTGAATTCTAAGATGTGGCACAGTCCCCCAGTCCTCACCCCTCATACCCTCTGCCTACCTTGGCCTTCTTCATCTCTGCCACCTCCGCCTGCAGCTTCTTCAGCTCCCTTTCATAGCGCGACTGGTTCTTGAGCAGCCTGGCATGCTCTTTTTGAGCAGCCTGTAGCTTCTGCAGGTCCCGGTTCATCTCTCGAAGCCTCTTCTCATAATCTGCCTTGATCTTATTGGCCTTCTCCTCCGTGTAACACTCCATGGTGCCTGAGAACAGTAAAAAAGCAGCTGTCAGAGCCACGGGCCCCATGGCTCCCACTAAATGTGGGCCCAAAGAGGAGATGGGGGCCCTGGGTTCAAATCTCAGCGTGTCACCTCACCCCTCCCTGAGCCTGTTTCTTCATTTGAACAATGGGGGGGCGATGTTAACAGATGCCCAAGGGCCTTTCCTGTTCTGACATTCTATTGTTCACTGGTGTTTTCATCCTGAGATCTCTGAGCCCCTGGGAAGGTAGGGACAGCAGAAAGGGAAGAGTTAACGACACCAATAAAAGACAGAGTGATGTGGGCCCTAGCAGAAGGAATAAGCTGATTCCCATGCAGACTCTCCCACCTGAATGCCTGAATTGCTAACAGACATCCCCAACTGAGCAAGTCAAGACCAACCCCTGACTTCCACCTCTTACCCCATCTCAGTGAACCTCATCGCCTGTCCAGCAAAAACTTTAGTTCAAACTACACTCAAAATCTGAGCACATCTCACCATTTCTAACATTTCTAAGTTTCCTAAGCAGGCTTCAACTTCCACTTCCATCTCCCTACACACTAGCCAGGACGATGTTTTTAAAATGCTTCCAAATCTTCTAAAATCTCTCTCAAAACTCCTAACCTTCTCATCTTTCTAGAGCCAAGACAATGCCCTTACAAGGGCAGACATAACCTGTTCTCTGCTCTGTCATTCCACCAACATGCCAGGCACATGGCTGCCTCGGGGCCTTGGAGTCTTCTGTTCCTTCTCCTGGAATGTTCTCTCCATTGCTCATTCTGTTCTTGTGCCCCCTTATCTCCTTCAAGTCACACTCAAAGGCCTCCCCCGTGTAGCCTTCCATGGTCTCCTTTCTCAAGCCCCAAACCCATCCTCTTTTCTTGCCATATTAAAAAAATAATAATATAGTGGCGTAAATTGGTCCTGTGTACTGAAGCAATAAAGCTGCTTTAAATCATTAAAAATAATAATAATAATAATAATAGGCAACATCAGCCCTGCTAGCAAACCTGTTATCTTGTGGATGCCTGTCTTCTGCACTGCAGCATGAGAACAGGAATTTTGCCCATTTCAACAACTCTAGCATCTAGAATAATGCCTGTGCTGAGACACATTCAACTCCTGTTTGCTGAATAAGTGGATAAGGAAATGAATCATGAAAGGAGTGGGCACAGAACAGTATAAGGAGGTAGAATTTTGGAAGGTTTATAAACTGGATATGAGGCGGGGGAGACTGGGAGGTATCTTAGTCACATGCCTAGGTAGATAAAGGATAAAAGATTCTAATATATAAGATGAAAGAAAAAATCTGGGTATGGTGGGGAGTATCTGTGGTTCTAGCACTAGGGAGGTTGAGGCAGAGGATTGTCACAAGTCTGAGGCCAGCCTGGGCTACATAGTGAGACTCTGTCTCAAACAACAGCACAAGAAAAATAGAAAAAGGTGGGGTGGCTGCTAAGATGGTTCAGCAGACAAAAGTGCCTGCTGACAAACCTGATGACCAGAGATTAATCCCCGAGACCCACATGGTGGAAGAAGAGAACTGACTCTCCCTGCAAGTTGTCCTCTGACCTCCACATAAGTGCAATCTCAATCTCTCTCTTTTTCGCTCCCCCCCCGCCGCCTCCACACACAAAATGTAATTTTCAAAACCAAAAAAATCTAGTGGAGGAACTGGGTCAGATGCAAGGACTTTAACTGTGGGCAAAGGGTCACAGTGAAAGGGCCGGAGGGTCCTTGTGCAGGGCAGGGAATCAGGAAAGGGAAGGCGGCATGGCCTCACTGAGGTTCTGCAGCACACGGTCACGTTCCAGCTGTGTGTCTCGGATCTTGTTCTGCAGCAGGATCAGTTTTTCCTCATACTGGTGCTTAAGCGTCTGCAGCCTCCGCTGGCTGTTCTCCAGCTCATCGATCAGCTTCTGTTTGATCTCAATTTCGCATGTCAGGTCGGCCAGGTCCGCCTGGAAGTTCACCTCTGTGGGGCCAGGCAGAGCCAGACTTAGCCCCATGCCAGGTGCCAGGGTAAGGAAGCAGCCTTCCCAGTTTGGGGGATGGGGAATATGGGACTTCCTCTGGTCAGCAGTGACCAGTTGGTGACCAAGTGCAAGTGGTACCAGACAGGGCAGCACATTTAAAGAGCAGCCCCAGGAATGCATGACTGGGTCAGGAGCTCAGGGGGTGTCTACTGCCCTCCCCAGTCCTGCTGGGCCCAGGAGCCTATATCTACAATGACAGATGACATGGAACCGTTTTTGATGGAGGAGGGCGAAGTGACCTTGTAGGGCTGTGGGCTAGGGATGGCAGCAACACAGAACTGAAGGACAGAGATCTTCACTTGGAGGAGGGCACTAGCCAAGGTCATTCAATGCTTCACTCTGCATTGACTAAACTGGGTCAGGAACCCTCCGAGCATGTTTGCAGGGAAACCTAACAGCTTTACAAGGTAGCTGTAAGCACTGGATTCCATCAAGTCTTGTGAAGGGTCAAGTTAAGGACAGTGGTGGGCATATAAGGAAAGCTAAGTGTTTTCCATCATTTGTCATTAATATTGTTTTTGTTGGCTTCTGGGAGTCTGAGCCCTGGACAAGCACAGTCTCTGAGAATTCCAACAGGCCTGATCCCGCCCAAAGGCATCTGAATTTTTTCCTCTGGGTCCAGCTCTGATTGACAGCCCCATCATGGGCAATGGGCAGCGGCCACAGGCATCCCATCTCCCCAGCCCAAGCCCACATACCCTTCTCTTCAGGGTCTGAATCTGAGTCCACCAGGCTCTCCTCACTGCCAGAGTCCTCATCTTCATCTTCACGCCCTTCCTCCTCCTCACAGCCACTCTCATCTCGCTCTTCCTCCTCCTAGGTACCAAGCACCATTAGGGCTGCACCTGCCTCATGAGAGAGGAGCCCAGAGGCAGAGGCCAGGCCAGATGCAAGGCCTCAGGGGTATCAGCAGGGATGGGAGCCAGCCCACCCTCATTCAGAAAGAGTATCCCCTCCCCCAATAGCCTTGGCACAGCCCTTCTGGAGAATCCTCAGTCCAGCATCATCCATTTGGGATGAGGCAGAGGCCTGAGGGATGGAGATCACCATGACAACTGGTCAAAGTTATCAAGAAGCTCAAGGATCAGCTGGAGGTACCACCCCCACCTGCTACAGTTCACAGATGGAACCCCCCACCCCAGCAGAGACATGGGGATAAGGTCATGGTGAGGGCCAGGGGTGGTCCTCACCTCCTCAGCCTCATTCTCATCAGTCTCCTCACTGTTTTCCTGCTGGAGTTTTGCCCTCTTTTTGAAGGCTTCCTTCTCTGGGCTGCTCATGGAATGAAGAAGAAGCCAGATTAGGGAATTAACACTGTTTAATCATGTAGGCAACGGATGGTAGGGCTGGGCTCCTGCTCTGTAGAAAACCAGATCCTCTTCTTGATCCTCGCCTCCCCAATCACCTTGAATTAACCTTGATGGAAAAGCACAACCTAGAAACTGAATAAATCTGCTCTATGAATTTCCAAGCATTACCCCTGGGAGTGGGGTGAGGCTGAGCAGGGATGGCCCTTCCTGAACATAGGGTGGGGAGTAGTCTTCCTTCCTGGAGGGTAGGTGGGGGTCGACTTGTGACTGTCTTGGCTCTTGGGAAGGTGGTGATGCTCCACTCACCTCTTCCTCCGCTGCCTGACCTCCTTCTTCTTCAGCCGCTCCAGGTCTTGCTTGGCCCTGCGGATCACTTCAGAAGCATCCTCCATGGAGCTGGCTGGGCTGCCCCCAAAGGCTGGACCAGCAGGAGATGCTCCCAGGGAGTAGGGATTTCGAGTTGAGGCCCGTGAGAGACTGCGGCGGAGGGACTCATTCATGGCCTCACTCTCCAGGAGCTTTGTCCTATGTAGGAAAAGGCAGTGGGTGGGGCCAGGTGAGCCACATGGACCCAGGCCTGGCCTGGCCAAGGCCACCCAGCCTGGCTATACGGGACAGGCTCACTCACCGAAGCTCCTCAATCTCCCGGATATAGTTCTGGATCAGAGCACCAATGGCCTCGTTGCCATCACCTGGGAGGGGAAGACAGAAGGAAGATGTGATAAAGATAAAGATAAGCCACAACAAGGACTGGAGTCATTGTGGCTCTAAGGCTGGTGACCTTGCACCTGCCTCCAGCAAGGCAGCTCATATGGACCTTTTCCATAAAGGAATCTGTATGACGGAAATACTTGAACACGAGCACAGTTGTATCCAAGCCCTGCTGGTAATAGTGTGACATTGGAAACAATCTAAACGCCTATCAATAGAGGCTGTTCTAATAAATTATTCAGCATCACATATGGAACATCATGCAGTTGTTTAAAAATTAAGTGGGTTTTAATGTGGAGATTTCTAATACATAATGCTAAATGAAAAATGAAGTCATAAAATACCAAGTATGATCTCATAAACAGAAACTGTAATACATATTCACACACATATACATGACTGCGTACAAATGCATGAAACAAATGGACTGAGAGAGTATGGGAAAGCAGGCACTAAGTTGCTAAGATCCTTCTGAAAAGCAGAAAGGATGTGGGTGAAGCATCTGCTGAGGGGATTAAAATCTTTCACTTTACATATGATTTATCACTTTCATGCTTAACAAAAAGGATGCGTGCGTATTGTGTGTTTCACACAAAGTTATAGGAACAAACGCATAAATTAATTGATCTCTGCATTGGCTGGCTAGCATAGCCTGCCTAATACATGTTGGTGCTATGAGTTTGATGTCCCCCAACTCACCAGCCTTGGCCAGAAGTAGGTTGGCCTCCTGGCTCATGAGATGTGTGACACGGTTGTTGATGGCATCGATGGCCTCCTGCATGGCCTTCACCCTCAGTCGCAGGGCTCCGTTCTCCTTCTGCAGCATGGCGTTCTCCCGGAACAGGTCACTGTAGCCCTCTGCACCATCCTCCCCGATCACCCGCTTGCCCTGGGAAGGGGACAGACAGGGAGTAATCAGGCACTAAATCTCACAGGAGGGGATTTGAGGTGGCATCCTCTTCCATCACCTTCAGCCTTTCCCAAGACTTGGTATACTGCTAGTTTCTCCTTCCTCAGATTTTTTAACACAGTTCCTGTCTCCCACGCTCAAACACTGGATATGGTGGTTCATGCTTATAATCTGAATGTCTAGAAGGCTGAGGCTTGAGGATCACAAGTTCAAGGCCAGCCTGGGCTGCACAGTGAGAACCACTCTCAAAACCAAACAACAAAACTTTACATAGCTCTTCCTGACAAAGAAAGGTCCAGATTTTGGACTTACCTTCCTACCACTCACTTTCATCATCCCGAAATGCTAATCCAAGTGACAAAACCCTACCTGGGCTGGGTAACTGGCATACATGAGAGAGTCAGTCTGGGTGTAAGACAATAGGGAGTGGTGGTGATTGGAGTCAAGAGAGTTACAGGCTGTCTAAAGGAGGCAGCCACTCTGTGGATGTCTCTGTTATCTGGTGACTGTTTAAGTTCAACTGTTGCACCTTAAAGTTGAAATCAGGAGCTATGCAAATTGTAACCAAGGTTTACAGAGTTGTTTGTTGTATATGGAAAAATTTAAATGTTGTTGCAAACTAGCATATTACATCATTTTAAAATTTCTTTCCTCTCTTCCAGTCCCCCAGATGGTATAATAATGCTTGATTAGTCAAAGAAGACATTAAACAAGGACAAAATTTAATGCAACAGAAGTTGCCATAATTTCATTGCCTTGATTCTCTGTGTGTCTTAAGATACAAAAGAAGTCAGTGGCTTTTAGCTGTTTACAAAGAGAGTATGATTGTAAATGTACACTTTGGTTGTGCTTGAATGACAAAATTTCTTCATACAAACCATTACTTTTTTGGCTGCTTAAAAAACAAAACAAAACAGAGTCAGTCACTCTGCCATTCACTCTTGGTAGCACTGTTGGTACTGTTTTAAAAGCTGAGACTTCCTGACTTTCAGAAAAGTTGTCAAATAAATTACATTCTTTTGAAACAAATACAAATGAAACCCACATCTATCTGTATGTCAGATTCAGATTATGGGCCACCAGTGGGCAACATCACCTTTGGTCATACAGAATTAGACATGTCCCCCAAAGCACCCATTTTTCTCATTTGTTATGTTATATATGGCTTTCTTTCTGCCCAGAATGCCTGCTGGCCTCCTTCTCATTTATTTATCAAAATCCCTTTCCACGAAGACCACCCTGACCACTGAAAAAGGAGGCTAACTCTCTTATGCCCCCTGTAACACACAGGACTACACCTGTGTCCCCACTGTCAACCATTCTATACCACAGTGGAGCATTCTCATCTATTCAAACACAGCATGCTCAGTGGACATGAGCTGTGCCTAACTGTACAAAACAACCATGTTAACAAAGCCAGTGTACTCTAATTCTTAGACTGAGCATTCTAAGCCTAGAAGGCTCAGCCTGTGTTGGATTTGCTGTAAAGAAACACTGAGATGGATGGGTGCTGCTAGGAAGGTGGGAGGCTTGCTGAGGACCTAGAGAGATGGTAGAGGGACTATAGGGCAGAGTGTGGAGTGGGATGCTACCAGCTCCTGGTAGGAGTGACTGAAGCAGACATGGGGTACTCACTGCCTTGTACTCCATCAGTTCCATCTGCAGACGTGCAATCTCAGCCCGTAGTGCACTAATCTGTTGGCTGGTCTTATCCTGGTTCACCACCACCTTGTTCTTGATGTTGCGAGCCCGATTGGCATATTTGAGGGTGTTAAGTGTCTCCATGAAGTCCCGATCTGAGGGGCTCACACAGGCAATCATGATGGTCTGGCTGAGGGTGCAACCAGGCTGGGGTGAGGGCAAAGGACACAGCCAGGCCCAGAAGCACTGCGCCCACAACAGAGGTTCTGTTCTGACCATGTTCTCCTCCCCCATCTTAATGCTTGAAGGACCTGGAATCTGGGATGTGGGGCTCTGGATCACTTGGCCAAGGGTTCCCACAGGTACAGAGAGTAACCCTTGAAAGCAGCTAACAAGGTAGGGAGGTGATGATGCCCAACTGCAGAATCCTCTGCTTGGTGATGAGGATATGGCATGGCCCCTCTGTTTGCCTAACATTTCCCATCTATTATCTCATTGTGCTGCCTCCAAGTCTGCAGCCTAGGAGGATAAAATCTCTTTTCCTGGGAGTCAGGCTTTAGGCCCATATCAGTATTTTGGGGGAGCCTCCCCATCCTCTCTGGATTTTGGTCATCAGATACCTGTTACCCCCCAAGGAGTCCTGGAGTAGCCGAGTGAGCTTTGAGTCCCTGTAGGGCACGTGCACTACCTTCTTGCTCTGGTCCCCCAAAGCGCTGATCACATTGCCCAAGGCCAGCTGTGGGAGACAGAGTATAAGCTCAAGAGTCACACAGGAAGGGCAGAAAATACAATCCCAAACCATCTCTATGTGCTGGTGACAGCAGCCCTCAGGCTCCTGGGGGGTTTTATAGACTGACATGATAAAGACCTAAGGCCTGAGGGTGAAGGAAGAAGACCCAGTAGTAGTAACAATGGGTGCCCTGTTCAGCAGCTGGTAAAGGGCCCAAGGAGGGCTGGGTAGCCATGGAAGAGTAGCCTACACCATCTTGCTTCTAGGTCTGGTGACTCTCTGTGTGCCTACCAGGCCACAGTTGATGGAGATGCCCTCCTTGGCTCTCTCGCCAGTGGCCCCTGTCCGCTTCAGTCGTTCTGAGCCAGCCAGGTCCACAAAATGAAATTTAGCAGTAAGTGTCTCATACTCGGTGCTCGTGGGGGCTGCTCCGTCTGGAAGCCCAGTCATCGTCTCATTTACCTGTAGTAGAAAGTGGAATTTGGCTCACTCAAGCCACACCTCCTGATCTTCTGTTCCCAGCTGCCCACCCCACAGCACTCAGGAGAATGAGAGCAGGCTACATGGTACCAACCCCTTGTGTGTGCAGAGCACCTGAAAGCAAATGCAGTTCTTACACAATACTATCAAGTATCATTACCCCATTGCATAAATGGGGTAACTGAGGCTCAAGAGGAATAAGAAAATTCAGCAAGTGGCAGAGGCAAGCTCCAGCTTTAGTATGCTAGCTTAGACCCATGGCTCCTTATCTTGCCTTCCCTGGGATACACCTGGAGCATGTAGCTCTTGGACACCCAAGAGCACCTCACCAGGTCAGGCTGGGTGCACACTCGCATCTGGCATAGATGGATGGTGAAGATGGCGTGGGAGCGGGAGCTCTGTACATTCATCTGTGTGCTAGCTGTGGTACGTGACAGGGCTCCCTGCTTCAGGCACTGGATCAACTGGAGACAGACACAGAGGAGAGGACTCAGGACCCATGTGCTGCAGGGCTCTGGCCTTTAAGGATGCCCATGCCTATCCTGGACCTCAGGGGATGCTTACCTCCTCCTGGGAGCTGATAAGACGAGAAGTCACACCTGTGGTGTAGATGCCACCATTGGCATCCTCATGGATCTTGATGTTGGACCTGCGGTGGCGGGCATCAGGATCACGGGTACTGTCAAACAGGTCAAGGATCTCCTCATTGTAAAGCTGTGATGGGAAGGAAAACAGCAGCTGGGTTCATATGATATACAGCACAGGGCCCCAAAGGACTTCCTCACATTTCTAAAACATCTCAATTTGCAGAAGTGGAAACTGAGGCTCTGGATTCCTGGCTCTTTTTCCTGCACAGGGGAAGGAGAGCATCTAGGCCTGGGCAGAGCCACCCTAAGGGTACACTTACTGCTTTACCCCCCAAGGAATTACTATTCAGCAGCAATCAGCTCCTAAGGGGACAGCTAAGGACTTCACAGGGACAAAGGGATGCAGGTTCTAGGTGTAGGAGATGGGGAAGACATAAACCTGAATCAGGAAGGTTCTACTATATTATCGGGCTAGAAGAGAAGGCATGGGGCTGTGATTCTAGATGAAGGAGGGCAGAGATAGAGTTTGCACAGACCAGGGAGTTAATGCCCTGAGCTCTGAACCTCTGAGGCCTGCAGTCTCTGAGGAGAAGGTGATGCTAACCTCAGGTAGTATGTATGGCTGTGTGCTTCGTCCTTTGCTTAGGAGGGAAGGGGAGCAAGGAGAACAGGCATTATGGCCTATCCTCCTGGGAAGACCATTGGGGCACATGGATGGTGTCGGCTGAGGGGATTCTTATAATTAGAACTGTGGGGAAGTCTGGGATATCACAGACGAGGAGCTGAGGATAGAAAGTGGGAGAAGGAATGGGGTGGCTGGCAGTAGCCAAGAGAATTCCGTGGAACTAGAGAGAGGGGGCAATGCAGCCCTCAGACATCCAAGGCTTTGATGGCCTTAAAGGGACAGAAATATCCCACAGGAAGGGGAAAAGGAAACAGAAGAGATGGTGGAGACAGGGTGCCATAGTGTCTGTCTGTCTGTGTTGGGTCAGACACACTGCATCATTTAACTCCTTGTGTTCACCCCATGGCTTAGATTTGCTAGCCTGCTCTTTGAGCTCTCCATGGCAACAGAATGGTAAAGGGAAAACAGAAAAGTTCTAAAGATATACAGACAGTAAGACACACACACACACACACACACATGCACACGCACACACACACACGCACACGCACACACACATGTGCATATATATACAGAGGCACCAAAAGAACCTAAAATACAGGTCCTTATAGGGAAAATGGCAACCCTGGGTGCCTAGAAAGGAGACACTGGAGCCACAGTCACAGGGTGAGGTATGATAGGCTTGGACAGAATTGCGGCCCCATCTCTCCCTCTGAGGGTCCAGTCAGAGCAGTAAAGTTGGGGGCTGAGAGACCAGGGTGGCTCCAAACCCATCAAATATAGCAGGACAGGGATCCTTAGACTGAGGGGATTAGATATTGAGACTCAGAACTGCCCAACCATGTGTCCCAGAGGAGAAGCCTAGCCAGGCTCCTGGGAGAAATGCCAAGGTGAACCACCTTCCTGAACTCCCTCAAGGGCCCTTTCTAAGAAGGGGCACCAACTCTTGGGGCTACTGATCTGGGGCTTAGCATAGCCCAAATGTGGAGGATCCTAGAGATTCCCTCATGTACCTTCCCCAAAGCCCTTGGCTGCCACAGTTCTAGGCTGACATCTCCTAGTGCCAGGAGGACCAGAGATGAAGGAATATCCCTGCTGGAAGCCTTTCTTCCCTGAGAGTCCAGGAAGCATTTGGGCCCACAAAGACAGAGGAAGGGCCTGCTGAGGGCCAGAAGCAGGATTTTTACCAACTACCAGACTCAGGCTGTCATGCCAGCTTCACTAAGCCCTGAGGAAGAAGAGACATCAACCCCACTTTGCAGATGAGGTATGGAATGGCGACATGACCTGCCCTATGTCAGGGTCAGAATCAGTTAGGGTCTGAGGAGATCACAGATCATCGACTCTAGCCCTATCTGAAGCAGAGTGTCCCATGAAGTGTTTCTCCAGCCCTCGCTTGGATACTTTTAGAACTTGTCCCGTGTAGCTGTTCTGATGGTTCCTTAGCCTCACTTCTCTGCACTGGTAGAGGACCCAGCTTCCATGGTCTTGGGTTCTACCACATCACCCTCCTAACCACCTTCTGAGGCCATAGTACCTCCAGGAATTGAGCGCTGACTTTGAATTCAGGTCCAGTCACGCCCTGTTCCTGTGCCCGCCGCTTGCGCTCGTTGATACCCCTGAAGAGGTGTGCAATGGCCCTCGGGATAATGCCTTGTTCCTCTTCCGATGTTGCTGTGTCGAAGCCGGTGCCCATAGTATATGTCTTCCCGGCCCCCGTCTGTATTGGTAAAGATGGAATACAGGTGTTAACCAGCACCCTCTGGGGGCACCAGCAAGCCTTGGGCCTGGGCCATATCCCCTCACCTGGTTCCTCTAGCCTGGTTCCCTTGTTCCTTTTGGTCCCAAAGCCACACCCCATGAAGTCTTTGATTAAAGGTTGCCTCTGCTAACCAGACATGCAGTAACAATTCAGGTACCAGACAAAGCTACACAGCTGGGCATCAACTGTTCTACAGTGCGCCTGATTCCCTCATTGGATGGGGAGAGACTGAGGTTAAAATGGCCACTGGTTGGGGTAGAGGTGGTTTACCTGCCCATAGGCCAGTACTGTGGCATTGTAGCCCTCGAAGCAGCCTTCAATGAGCTTGTTCACACAGGTTGAATAAATCTGTTCCTGCCAGGTATCCAGGTCAAAAACAAAGTCATAGGTGAAGGCCTTGTCCTTCCCCAGCAGGACCTGGGGCTCCCCGGGGGTGACAGAGGTACAGATGTGGCAGCCTTCAATCTTCTCTTTGGACAGCTGGGGCCGGATCCTGCCCAGGATGTAAAGAGCTCTGGGTTAGGTCCAGCTGGGTGGGGGCTACAGGCAGGCCCGCCTCCCATATTACTGACAATACTCTGCTCGCCCCCCACCCCTCAAGCCAAGAGAGGAAGGAAGGTAGAAGCCTAGGAAACAGCTTTGGAAATATAGATCAACATCACCCACACTAGTAGTTGCTAACATTGACTGAACACTCGGCACACTGATTGTGTGTTAAGTGCATTTTATATACATGAACTCATGCTTTCTTCACCACAAAGCTGTGAGGTATCTAATTGCTGGATTTTATAGATGAGAAAACTAAGGCTGAGGATGTTTCAATAACTTGCTCAAAGTTGCATAACAGAAAGTAATGGGGCCAAACCCAGGTCTGTGGGATATGAAAGCACACATTCCCAGAAATCGGCATCCCTCTTCCAGGGTGAAGAGTCCACCCACTCCGGGGAGACAAAGCTGAAGGCTAGGGTCAGGGAGAGAGCGGCAGGCCTGGTGGCTTCCTACAACTCCAGGTCACGTTCCCCTGAGCTGGTGCTAGTTCCAGAGGAGGCCAGAGCCTCTGCTGAGCCCTATGGGGGCTGTAAGGGTCCTCCAGTGCAGCAGCTACCTTTCTAGGTGCCAGAGCCTGGTGACACTCTCAGGTACAAGCTATGTTTTTTTCCTGGAACTGAAGGGCCAGGCCAAATGCAACGAGGCAGCCCAGGTGAAGTGAAAAGTACCCTGCCAAAGCAAACAGAAGGAACACCAGGCCAGTGACAGGATGGGCTCACATGAGATCCTGGCTCAGAGTGGGGAACCTCACATTGAGGAGGAAGAGTGACATCAGTACTGAGTAGGGAACCAGCCAAGGATAGAACTGTCTCCCCATCCAGTCACCCTTTACTCCCTTTTTCTAAGCGCCACGACAAGGTCCCCATGGCAACCAAGCATGAGCCAGTGAGCATGCGTGAGCAGGGACTGGCAGAAAGCACCCCTCAAACATCCGAAAGCAAGAGTGGGGGTAGACTCTACTGCCCATGGGCTCACAGATGCTGGCCCCATCGACTGTGTACTCACAATGAACTACTTGTCAGGCCCCTTCTCCTAAGCCAACATTTACCAAGAGAAGAAAGGAACAAGGGGCCAGGCCAGCACCCACTCAAGGCCCAGAGGCGCCTAGCTGCAAAGCCCAGGGTGTCCAAGTCACCATCCTACCTGTCATCTTTGCCCCAAGGCCCATTCAGAGCTACTGATTGGGGAGGAGCTCCCAAGCCTGTTGTTGCACTCTACTGAAGTAGACTAGGGAGGGGCAGGTATGTGTGGTGGTAGGTGCATGTGAGCTTCTCAGACAAATGTCTACATGTGTCTGGGAGTCTGGATCTTTCTCCAGAAATTATCTCTGAGGTATAAACAGGTCCCCATGGGTGAGTGGCTCTCTTTAGAAAGGTATGGAAGCCCAAGGAGTCTCCACCCTTACACAGCTCTCCAGGACACAAAAGGGAGCTCAGCTTTCTCACTTCCTACCTGAACCAGTTTCTGACTGAAAAGGGCAAAGCTGATTCTCATTCATTCTCTCCGGACCTGCAAACCAGGAACTTCACATATATATCAAATGTATGCATGTATGTATACACACACATACACACACACACACACACACACACACACACACACACACACACTTATCTCAAGGCTGGCAGGCTCCCACCTTGAACTTCTACCTCTTCCCTAATCACTGTGGCTGACACACACAGAATGCTCACCACATGCCAGGCACTGCCTTCACATTGACATGTGTCTTAACACTTGACCTCACCACAACCCCAAGAGGTCATGACTAGTGCCCTATTGACAGATGAGGAAACTGGAATGGTGTCATTCAGAGTCACAGACAGTGAGGAGCCAGCCCAAGCCCAGACAGGCTGCATATACTGGCCCTTCCATGCTCTTGCACTACACACCTTGCCTTTAAGGTCCAGAGCTCAGAGGGCTAGGAGGAACATCAGACACTCTGGGAAAGCACTGGCAGTTACAGAGTAAGGTGTGGCACTGCACAGGTGACAGGAATTGGAGTTTTGGCCTTAAGATCTTCTGTGACCTAAGCTTTTGGGGCCTAAGACCAGGCACTTCCTCCCAGAGAATATGGGTGCTCTCTGGTGGACCAAGGGTCTATTCCAGCAGCCTTGGAGGACCCTTCAGCTGTGCAGGCAAGCACGAGCTCCTGAGAGCACCCTCCCCATCATGTGGCTGCCTGCGATGGGATTTCTGGATCCAGTTCAAATACCATTTAATTACTACAGGCAGATGGCAATGCTGGCGATTGGAGGAAATCGAATCAGCATCCCTGGAGACAGCGGGAATAGAAAGAGGGAGCAGCAGACCTGCCGTCAGAGCCCTCCCATGAAACAGGCAATAGGTCATCAGCAAGCAGCCCCAAAGCATCTGAGGAGGGAAGGAGTGGCAGAAGAGCAGCCTGGGAGGGCGTATAAAAGGGATTTAGGGGCCAAGAGTTGTGGGGTTATGTGGGCATTCACCCTGGGGTTCTTTGTTGGCCCCACACATCCTGATGTGAGAGGTTCTGTGTCAGAGAGTCCCCCTTGCTGGACCATTCTAAGTGCCAGGATGCTTTGCCAGGTTGTAGGTGCATGAACAGAAAAATGAGTACCAGTTAGAGGATAAGGACATAGACCCTAGATGAGTCATTGATTCTCAGAGCAACTGATTCAGAGCAGGGAGAGTGTGTCAGTCTTGGGAATGAATGAGTGGCAGTGGGAGCAAGGGAAGGAGAATGACAATGCTGCTGATGTGTCCCATGTGCTGGTTGGTGGGCTGGCCAGCACCTACCATTTACCTTACCTTAGTGATGCTAGGAGCTGGGATTTCCCATGTGGGTTCTGAGAACTGAAACCAGGTCCTCTGCAAGAGCACCCAGTACTCTTAACCACTGAGCTATTTCTCCAGCCTCAGAAAATGTAATCTTTAAAATGATTAAATTGTTGAACTGTAGGCCAGTGGCCTATTTTTATCAATAAAGGTTAGTAGCCTACAGATCCTGTGACATTTCTGCTCAAGGACAGTCTGAATCTTACCATCTCACCCCCAGGCTCCAATCCTTTAAGCCTCTGTCTGTCTTGTAAGGAGGGGGTACTGCAGGCTGGACAGCCCTGTTCCAAAAAGGCCCCTGCACGCTCCTAGAACAGAGCAGGCCTATTCGCCACTTGGCAAACCTCAGCAGGGTGGTGGGTGAGAGCCTAAGTAAAGGGCCAGGGCTTTTCAAAGGCAGGATCTGGCACCCGAGGTCCTGCAGCGCGCTTCCTCTGCTCACTGATGAGCAGGGGCTGGGGTGATGTGGGAGGCCATCCCTGCCCCTGCAGCACTGAGAGAGCCTAGCAGGCAACTGCGGAGACCCCCTCCCTGGCCACCCCCTCCTGCCTGGTGCCCAGGAGGTAGGACAAAAGCCGGAGCTGGAGCCCAGGGCTGCGGGAAGAGCTGGCTCAGCGTTTCTTCGCTCTTTGGGAGTAGGACAGGGCGGAAGTGAAGGATAGAGGAGAGCGCCAGGAGGCAGGCCAGGGATGCTGAGAGACTGCCAAGGGCAAAACACAGTCTCTGCAAAGGGTAATAACTGGCTACATTCTGGCAAGGCCTCTACACCCAACTCCAAAGTTTAGGAGGAACCTCACCTCCAACCCATCCCTAGTGACATCACACAATCACCCCTCTCAGGAGTTCTGCCCAGTGACCTTGGGCTCCTAGAGGTTGGCTGTGCTTTTTAGGTAAAATTAGTCCTAACCAATCAGCTGGCTGGCACCTTCCACAGTTGATAACTGAACCTCTCACAAATCTTATCCTGAGGCCTCTAAAGATGAAGGCCAGCCTCTGTGCACTTTAAAAGGATCTTATTTTTCCCTGATGAGAAGTAACAGGCCATGACATTAAAATAACCAAGAGCTGTTCCAGGCTTAAAACCTTCTTTTGAGTTGTTGGCTAAAGGCTACATAACAAGCAACAATGCCAGATAGGAGATACCTTCTTTTGAGTTGTTGGCCAGGGTGGCCAAAGGGATTCCCAGATAGTAACCCAGCATAGAAACTGGGAAATTGAAGAGCAGACCCCAATCTTATCCAAAGGAATATTGACAACTGAATACCACTAGATGAGGAACAGCTGACTCTCCTAAAACAAAGACCTCTAGAAAGGCTGACTATTAGAAGGGCAAGTAGTAGGGAATGGCTGGGGGTGCCGACAACACAGCAGACAGTAGCTGGGATATCAGAGTATAAGGGCTCTAGCCGGGGGAGGGAGGCTATGGGTGGGTGCTACCTGGGAAGTGGGTGTATAAAAAAATGAGATGGTTTAGGATGTTCTGTGTGATGTGCACACACACACACAAATAAATAAATAAATAAATAAATAAATAAATAAAATCAACAATTTTTTAAAAATGT